GTAAGAATCCGAGAGCGTTATTTGTTCCTTGTTCCTGTCACTCTATTAATCATGTTTTAAATGATGCTGCAGAATCAAGTATAAAAATGGTCAAATGGTTTTTTTCTGCATCCACTTATAGATGGTCTATCTATTCTTGCCAAACATCTGACTAATTTAACATTCAAACCTGTATGTATCCTGTATGTATCAGGCACGTTAGATTTTTGTCTCGTCACTTTTTGGTATTGTAGAAGACATGTCTTTGCTGGGTTCTCATGGAAATAATACTGAAGTAGAAGCAAGCAATATATTGGAGAAGTTAAATTATCAAGCCATATGCATTACAATAATTTGGTATGCATTTGGTATGTACTTTTAGATGTTAACAGAGTAAATCTTCTACTACAAAGCCCAAAGTGCACTGTTTGTCCAGCAGTTCAAATAATTGAACAACTTGCAAATAATCTAAGAAAACTAAGAAACTTCTAATAAAAGCTCTTTGCACAATCTTGGCGACTTAAGAAATTGGGAAAAGAGGACGTCATAAAGCAAAGTATGAATTTGGAGATTACTCTTACACATAACAATAGAAAATACTTCGATGGCATTCAGCTGGCGGAAGAGTTGAGTATTATTTCATAACTTTTAAACCCAGGTGATACATCTTATAAAGTTTTGAAATATATTTTAAACAACTTAATTGTTATGTATCCAAATCTTTATATCGCTTTGAAAATCCTAAAATTCCTTTCCAAAAAAGGAATCCACAGATTCCTTTTCAGAAGATAGTTATCTAAGTAACAAGATGCCATGGTAATGTTAACTTTAGTATGTTCGAGATTTATTTCTGTTTGAAAAACTCTAAATTTTGACACCAAAATCCCAAAAACATTCTTTACCACTCCTCTAGCACAAGAAAGTCGATAATTAAATATCCTTTGTCTGTTGTTCAAACTACCCTGGCTGTAGGGCTCCATAAAATTAGGTTTTAGTGAAAATACTTCATCAAATTCTTAATAATAATTATAATATAATGATATTATTATATATCATATTTAATAATGTTATTATTATACATATACTATATTTAGTAATACCACAATCAACATTACAAATAATTTTTTTTTGGTCAGAGACACTGAAATGGTTGATTGTGACGAGTTGGAAGAGCCAGAAGTTACTGTCCAGTCGTAATCTGATTTGTTATCTGTAGCAAAAATGATGGCGAAGTAGATATAGTTGCCAAATGTTGGGCATTCAAGTTAGGTAAACTGAAACATGATCAACGACTTTGGGCAGAAAAATTCATCAACGATATTTTACTTGAAGGCGAGCTCGGATATTGTTTGTATTAATCATCCGTACTACCAAAATCAGTATTAATTAATGACACCATCACCAGTGCCCTCTATAGCTGTCAGCAGCAGTACACTACCGATGGCAGAAGATACACCATTTGTAATTACTTGTACTTTTTTATTATGTATGGACACTGAAATAAATTTCAGCCTTGCCCAACGCAATATCGTCAAGGATATCTTGAACACTTTGCACAAAGAAATTATTTATGCCATCAGGATTCTGCAACTAAATCAAGTTTTTTCGAAATGTATGTGAAATAATGTCCTTCTGAATTTCGATTTTGCACTGTCTCTTAGGCGCATCATAAACTAAATATTATCTGTTAGCCAAGGAGCATTAGGCTATCTTGTATAACCTAAAAGCACAGGTCATAAACCGACCAAGGAGAAGACCTCGAACGCGATGGCAAGATAACATAAAGAGTAATGTTTTAAAATTGCTTGGACTAAAAGTAGAAGTTCTTGGAGGGAACAATTAAAGGAGATATAGAAGTAACTTTTCACAAGAGATTTCGTAATACTGATAAAAATTATTTGTAATTTTACGGTTTGTAATTCTAAGAAGCGCCCTTGTGCTCAACTCCGATGTGAAGTAAATCAATTCGCGCAATTCACGTAATGGCCGAACATGTCAAAGGCCTTTTGAAATGCAACTCTTTGGCTATCCAACGATGCATACTACGTCCAAATTAGCTAGATGACTTCCGAGAATATTCCCACCATTGAAATAAGAACGTAAAAATTAAGTTGTGGAATAATATTATTTTAAAAATACCTAACAGAAATAAAAAATGCTTTTTAGACAATGTTGAAGATATATTACAATAAATAAAATAAAGTCTAACCCAACCTTTAGTAGTAGAGTATCTGATATCTTTGAGTTAATATGGATATGATGATGTTGGGCGAAATACGAGTTTTTAAAATGATGGCAAAATGGCAGAACTACGTCGATGGCAAAGTTCGAACTTCTCATCATTAACATTTCATTATTATTCTCCTCGACAATGGGTTGAATAAATGATTCTTCTTGGAAAATGGAGCAGTTTAGGGATTAAAAATAATTGCCGTCTTTGGTTTCCGATTAGCCCCTTTGAGTACCAACTTCCTAACGAGCTTATGAGAGAACAAAGACGATAATTGGATTAATCCCTAAAGCGCTCCATCTGTTGCTATTTGAATAATAATAATAAATAATTAAAAATAAACGTTTTTACAACAAATTTATTATTTTTAATTTAATAAATTACGTAAATTGATTTAATATTTATCTCATAATTTGCATGATGTAATCGCAACGGTAGCAAACTAATTAATACAAAACAAACCTTGAGCCTCGAATTGAATGGCTCCAACAACAAACTCCGGAATTTGAAATTGATGAGAATTTCCTGCTAAATAAGTTTATCTTTATCAATAATAAAGTGAGTTTAGAGTGCATTTACTCCCAGTTCCTTAAAATCAACAACTGGATTTCTGAAAAAATAGTTCGATTTAATGTTAAAATTAATTAGTATTAATTAAGTAAATTGGATTAATATTTAGTTAATATAAATAACAATTAAGAATTTATATAAATTAATTCTGTATTAAGTAAATCGATCCAGTTTAGACCTTATTTTAGGTCATCGACTTTACATATGAATCGTTTAAATATGTTAAGTAGCAATGCGGGATGTTTACTTTTTATTCAAATCAAACTTATTTAAAAAAATCTGTTGTAAGAGAAGTATTGAACGTGAAAGTTAACATTTACCGCCATCTGATGTAATTTCGTGATTAATCTTAAAATTTATTCGGGTAGTAATGGATAGATGGCAGCACAAAACTAGAAAATAAGAACTTGCATTGTAATTAAGATTTACTGAAAACGCTACAATTTTCTTTGGCATTTTTCTTCGTAACAATTTTCCATTAGCAATTTCTGGTACTCATTTAGTTAATCAGTTCGTTTGAAAACATTAAATATTTAAGTCTTATTTATTACTACACCAATAAGTATGTCGTTTTCAGTAATAATTTATTTGGTTTTATTTCCTGTTCAAAGCCGGAAACAAAACCACAATAAGAGATCAATGATGACTGTAGCGTACTTATACAACTTTCCTATTTAAAATTATTAGTTTTTTCACACATCTAATACCTGCCTAACAATGATCGAATTATTCAAAATCCCGAAAAGGTCGCTCTAGTTCATCGAAAAAGATAGATCGTTCTATAATCAAACAGCATATAGAGTCGTTCAATCCTGCAATTTCTCATTACAAGAGGGAGCACACTTCTAATAAGAGATACCTTCCAAGTGATATCAGCATAGTGAGGATGTACAATAACTTCAAGGCAAAACATCCAACTATTAATTTTTCCTATTATTTATATAGAGAAGTAGTCAGTAAAATGAATATTTCATTCTCTGCACTTGGACACGAAGAATGCAACATTCAAAAATCATGACAGAAGCTCTAATCATGATTCCAATAATTTAGAAAATAACTGCGCTGAGTGTGATTCTTGGAATAAGTATTGTTCCAATAGGAAGAAAATACAAAACATTTTCTATTTCATTCCAAGAAATGGATTTTATACGAATTTTTAAAACTTAATCAGTGAAAATTGCAAAATTCGAAAAAATTGTCAATTATTTCAAAAATTTATTTCTCAAAAACTAAAAGTGATTTTTCAAAACGGCTTGTTGCATTAAAAAGAGGATACATTAATTAATAATTGGTGATATTTCCAGAAGGATCCTTCAAGAAATTAATTTTATAGCGAATTTTGAAAATTATCGATGAAAATTGCAAATTATCAAAACTTCAAATATTGTTTTCTCAAAAACTAAAAGTTATTTTTCAAAACGGGTTGGTTCATTGCAAAGAGGACACTTTTATTAATACTTTGGGAAATTTTCATACTCATATTCCAAGAAGTGGATTTTATACGAATTATTAAAACTTAATCGGCGAAAATTGCAAAATTCGAAAAAATTGTCGAACATTTCAAAAATTTGTTTCTCAAAAACTAAAAGTGATTTTTCAAAACGGCTTGTTACATTAAAAAGAGGATACTTTAATTAATAATTGGTGATATTTCCACAAGGATCCTTCAAGAAATTAACTTTATAGCGAATTTTGAAAATTATCGATGAAAATTGCAAATTATCAAAACTTTAAATATTGTTTTCTCAAAAACTAAAAGTTATTTTTCAAAACGGGTTGATTCATTGGAAAGAGGACATTCTTATTAACACTTTGGGTAATTTTCATACTCATATTCCAAGAAGTGGATTTTATACGAATTTTTAAAACTTAATTATTCTCATTAGTTGTTCAAATTACACACTGTATTTTATTTGTTATTATTATTATGCGTATTATTTTCACATATGTGAAAAACCAAGCTACAATAAACATTTCTTTAAGATAGTATTTCTAAACAGAAAATGTTCACTTATGATTAAGAAGTTGGTTCTGCCAAAAAAATAAATTTTGCTAACTTCGACTTCTTGAGTCATTTATTATTTATTTCATTGTAAGAGTTAAAAAACTTTATTAATTATTCAAAATTAATACTAACTCTACAATAACAAATAATCATTACGATTAAATGAAATTAGGAATTGGAGATAATGAGAGGTAAATATAAAATAATTTAAAGAAATAAAAGAAAGTGAATTTTTTTATTAAAGTTTTGTTATTGAAGATGTTCTCAAAATAACACTTTTTACTCTTAGAAAGTCATATAAAATAAAACATTTGAAATAGCTGTAAAACCTATGGAAAGTTATTATTATATATGTAAAAACAAGAAAGCAGTTAGCTTTATCCAGCTGGCTACTTCTTCTTTTGGGCCTTTTCGGCGGCTTTCGTGACTTTTCCAGAGGTCGGGTCTTTGAAGTTAACGGCCTTAATGACACCAACAGCGACGGTCTGCCTCATGTCACGAACGGCGAACCTTCCTAGCGGCGGGAACTCTTGGAACGATTCAACGCACATCGGTTTTGATGGTACCAATGTAACGATGGCAGCATCACCAGACTTGATTGATTTCGGGTTTTCTTCCGTTGTTTTACCAGTACGACGATCGACTTTTTCCTTGATTTCAGCGAATTTGCACGCGATGTGAGCGGTGTGACAATCCAATACCGGGGTGTAACCATTCGAAATTTGTCCAGGATGGTTCAATACGATAACTTGAGCGGTGAAATCGGCAGCTCCTTTTGGTGGGTTATTTTTGCTGTCTCCAGCAACGTAACCACGACGCAATTCCTTAACGGAAACGTTCTTTACGTTGAAACCTACGTTGTCGCCGGGTACGGCTTCTTGCAATGCTTCGTGATGCATTTCAACGGATTTTACTTCAGTAGTGATATTAGCGGGGGCGAAAACTACCACCATACCGGGTTTCAAAATACCAGTTTCCACACGACCTACTGGTACTGTTCCAATACCGCCAATTTTGTATACGTCCTAAAAAAGTAACGAAGTTAGTTTATAAAAATTAAAGATTATTTATTTTTAATCCATTAAGTTAATCAGAAAAGATTAAGCCATTAATGTAGAAAATCAACAAATTTTTTTTTTTAATTCAGATAAATCGTTCATCATTTAAGTAATACGAATTAATGATAAAAATGTTTTTTTTTTTTACCTGTAATGGAAGACGTAAGGGTTTTTCAGTCGGACGACTTGGTGGTAAGATAGCATCCAAAGCGTCAATTAAACATTTACCGTCGGCTTTTCCTTCTTTACGTTCAATGGCCCATCCCTTGAACCATGGCATTTTGGTGGATGGTTCCAACATGTTATCTCCATGCCATCCGGAAATCGGAACGAAAGCGACGGCGGCCGGATTGTAACCAATCTTCTTGATGTAGGAGGAAACTTCCTTCTTGATTTCTTCAAAACGCGGTTCGGAGTATGGGGGTTCAGTGGAGTCCATCTTGTTAACGCCGACAATCAATTGTTTCACACCCAACGTGAAAGCGAGAAGAGCGTGTTCACGAGTTTGACCATTCTTCGAAATACCAGCTTCGAATTCACCGGTACCCGCGGCAACAATCAGCACGGCGCAATCAGCCTGAGACGTTCCGGTGATCATGTTCTTAATGAAATCCCTGTGGCCGGGAGCGTCGATGATGGTGACATAGTATTTGCTGGTTTCGAATTTCCACAAAGCAATGTCGATGGTGATACCACGTTCACGTTCGGCTTTCAATTTATCTAAAACCCACGCGTATTTGAACGAACCTTTACCCATTTCTTGGGCTTCCTTCTCGAACTTCTCAATGGTACGCTTATCGATACCACCGCATTTGTAAATCAAATGACCAGTCGTGGTAGATTTACCAGAATCGACGTGGCCGATTACGACGATGTTAATATGAGTCTTTTCTTTACCCATTTTGAATCTACAAAAATTAAAATTCTTTAATATCGCAATAAATCGATTTTTATTTCTTATTAGCTACAATATTTTGTTATAAAAAAAAATTTGTATCACTTTTAGTTTTTCCTATATGTTATATAGGCTGTTCCGTATATATATTGGTTATTAATTAATAAAAATGATGTTAATGAGTCATTTCGAATATAGAAAAAAAATTTTTAAATATCGCAATAACCCGAAACACGTCGATTTTTATTTTTTATTAGCTAAAAAATTTTGTTATAAAATTTTTTTTTATCACTTTTAGTTTTTAAGGAAAATGGGGCAAATTATTTTTTTTAACGGAACAGCCTATATATTATAACACTTTTTGGTAGAGCTAAAAATTACGAATTCAACGATACCTCAAAATCAAATATTGGTTATTAATTAATAAAAACGATCTTAATAGGAGTCATTTTGAATCTACAAAAATTAAAATTTTTGGAATATCGCAATAAATCGAAACACGTCGATTTTTATTTCTAATTAGCGACAACATTTTGTTATAAAAATTTTTTTTATCACTTTTAGATTTTCTGGAAAATGGGGCAAATTATTTTTTTTAACGGAACACCCTATATATTATAGCATTTTTTGGTAGAGCTAAAAATTACGAATTCAACGATACCTCAAAATCAAATATTGGTTATTAATTAATAAAAACGATCTTAATCTGAGTCATTTTGAACCTACAAAAACAAAAATTTTTGAATATCGCAATAACCCGAAACACGTCGATTTTTATTTTTAATTAGCTAAAATATTTTGTTATAAAAAAATTTTTTATCACTTTTAATTTTTCCAGAAAATGGGGCAAATTTTTTTTTTAACGGAACACCCTATATGTTATAACATTTTTTGGTAGAGCTAAAAATTACGAATTCAATGATACCTGAAAATCAAATATTGGTTATTAATTAATAAAAACGCTTTTAATAGGAGTCATTTTGAATCTACAAAAACAAAAATTTTTAAATTTTGCAATAACCCGAAATACGTCGATTTTTATTTTTTATTAGCTACAACATTTTGTTATAAAAATTTTTTTTATCACTTTTAGTTTTTCTGGAAAATGGGGCAAATTATTTTTTTTAACGGAACACCCTATATATTATAGCATTTTTTGGTAGAGCTAAAAATTACGAATTCAATGATACCTCACAATCAAATATTGGTTATTAATTAATAAAAACGATCTTAATAGGAGTCATTTTGAATCTACAAAAATTAAAATTTTTAAATATCGCAATAAGCCGAAACACGTCGATTTTTATTTCTTATTAACTAAAAAATTTTCTTATAAAATTTTTTTTTATCACTTTTAGTTTTTCCGGAAAATGGGGCAAATTATTTTTTTTAACGGAACACCCTATATATTATAGCATTTTTTGGTAGAGCTAAAAATTACGAATTCAATGATACCAAACAATCAAATATTAGTTATTAATTAATAAAAACTATGTTAATATGAGTCATTTTCAATCTACAAAAAAAATTTTTAAATATCGCAATAAATCGAAACACGTCGATTTTTATTTTTAATTAGCTACAACATTTTGTTATAAAATTTTTTTTTATCACTTTTAGTTTTTCTGAAAAATGGGGCAAATTATTTTTTTTAACGGAACACCCTATATATTATAGCATTTTTTGGTAGAGCTAAAAATTACGAATTCAATGATACCTTAAAATCAAATATTAGTTATTAATTAATAAAAATGATCTTAATAGGAGTCATTTTGAACCTACAAAAACAAAAAATTTTAAATATCGCAATAAACCGAAACACGTCGATTTTTAATTCTTATTAGCTAAAAAATTTTGTTATAAAAATTTTTTTTATCACTTTTAGTTTTTCTGGAAAATGGGACAAATTATTTTTTTTAACGGAACACCCTATATATTATAACATTTTCTAGTAGAGCTAAAAATTACGAATTCAATGATACCTCAAAATCAAATATTGGTTATTAATTAATAAAAACGATGTTAATAGGAGTCATTTTGAATCTACAAAAACAAAAATTTTTAAATATCGCAATAAACCGAAACACGTCGATTTTTAATTCTTATTAGCTAAAAAATTTTGTTATAAAATTTTTTTTATCACTTAGTTTTTCCGGAAAATGGGACAAATTATTTTTTTTAACGGAACACCCCATATGTTATAACATTTTTTGGTAGAGCTAAAAATTATGAATTCAATGATACCTCATAATCAAATATTGCTTATTAATTAATAAAAACGATCTTAATATGAGTCATTTTGAATCTACAAAAATTAAAATTTTTAAATATTGCAATAACCCGAAACACGTCGATTTTTATTTTTTATTAACTAAAATATTCTGTTATAAAAAATTTTTTTATCACTTTTAGTTTTTCCGGAAAATGGGGCAAATTATTTTTTTTAACGGAACACCCTATATATTATAACATTTTTTGGTAGAGCTAAAAATTACGAATTCAATGATTCCTCACAATCAAATGTAGCTTAATTAGTTTTTATGATATTTAATTAATAAACAAGACATATACAGTTCGCGTCAAAAGTGGAGTTCCCTTACTAATTTGAAAATTGTTCGAGATATCGCCACGATACAAAACACGTCGATTTTTATTGTTTATTTATTTACTCAAATATTTTGGTATAACAAAATTGTTGCACTCCAAAAATTTTCAAATGACAGTTATTTATTTTGTAATGGAGTAATGAAAAAAGTTATGTATCCATTTAAAAAACTTACTTAACCATTTAAAGACCTAGATGGTGCTTCTACAATACAATGAAAACTATAAAGAATATTTTCCCTCCATATTTCATGTTTTATTAAAAAAAAAAAAATTTTAAAATATCGCAATAAGCCGAAACACGTCGATTTTTATTTTTTATTAGCTACAAGATTTCGTTATAAAAATTTTTTTTATCACTTTTAGTTTTTCTGGAAAATGGGGCAAATTATTTTTTTTTTACGGAACACCCTATATATTATAGCATTTTTTGGTAGAGCTAAAAATTACGAATTCAATGATACCTCACAATCAAATATAGCTTAATTAGTTTTTATGATATTTAATTAATAAAAAAGACATATACAGTTCGCGTCAAAAGTTACTAATTTGAAAATTGTTCGAGATATCGCCACGACATCGATGTTTCAGATAAAACTTTCATCATATGAAAGGGGAAAATGTTCTGTATGGTTTTCGTTGCATTTTAGAAGCGCCATTTATGTCTATTAATTGTTAAGTAAGTTTTTTAAAATGGATACATATTTTTTTCATTACTATCTTATTCTACACGATAAAATAAATAACTTTTATTTGTAAATTTTTTTTATTTAATGAACATTATTATTAACAAATTCAAAGCGCAACTAGGGAATGCCAAAATTAACATCAAGTAGGCTAATTAAGGTTGGAAAGATATACAATTGCTGCAAAAATGGAGAATATATTTAAGTATAGTTAAGTAAACATAACAACATTGATATCTCTGGCTCCTTCTCCATAAACAAATATATGAATTTGTTGCTAAAAGAAATTTTGACAGATATGAGTACTAAAACAACTGCCATTTGTTATGGCCGCCTACTTGATGTTGAAATGAAATTCAATGAATGTTATGGCTAGTTAATAATATCATTGGTAATTTAAGTTGCAAGAATGTGAGGCGATTACTGAGTAATCGAAACGACTAATAAAGAATAGAATGATTCATGAATGGAAAAATAATTTTTGTATTCATGCTTTCTTGGATTTTAAATGATTTGTGATGGTTCAAAAATAGTTTTAAAAGAATCATAACATTTAAATAACTTGCAAATAAAAACATAATAGATTGCGCAATGTTGCAGCAAAAAAAAATGCAAGAATTCGCGTGGTTTAAAAATGAAAAACGTGGTTATAGAAACAAAGAGGTTGGCACATGGATAAAAAAAATGTAACTTTCGAAACCGGCAAGATGGTGGGTTTAGAAAGAAGAAGAATTCAGCGAAGAACCGAGAATGAAAAGGGCAATTACGCCATTTTATGTTAGCGCACGTGTTCAATGATCCGTATTTGACCGTTTGAAAATGGAGATCGCAACTCTATTTTTAAAACTAACCAAAAAATATTAATGAATCTTTGAAATTTAGAAAAAAAAAAAATTTTCCATGTGGAAAATGGCGCCATCTCACTATAACTATAATATATATATACAACAATCAAATATTACTAATAATAGCAATTTCCGGCGTTAATTAAGAACGAAATTAGCATAAAAAAACACGTGGTATTAATAAATCCGATTAAAACAAATGAAAGTTTAAAGAATGCATGGAAAAGAACAAAAGAAAAAAGCCGGAAAGATGGTTCTAAAAAAAAATGTAGTAGGCCGCGGCCATTAGAAATTTGAGACGAACCCCACGCTGTAATTACGATTAAAACCGGTAACAATTTTACACGAATTTACGTGTGCTAGGTAAAACCGGCGAATTATAAAGTAAAATTAGTAAAAGCAAGCGTAATTTGCAAGGAATATCGCAAAACATGCAGCCGACATATGGCAAAATGGCGACGATTCGTATGACACGTGGTGATGGAAGTAAATCGGACCGAAAATTTCGAAAAATGGATCTAATTCGTTCGCGATTTGTGAATAAAATGATTAATTTGATATTTGTACTCACTTTTAGTTGAGTTTTGTTAAGTTCTCTTGACTAAACCAACCGGTACAAGCAGAGACGACTGTACTAATGGTGCCAAGCCAACCACACCGATCGAAGTGCAGAACAGAAAGGAAGACTCGCAAGTAATGACCCGAACATATTCGCTCGGCGATTATACGTCACATCCGTTCTCGAGCGCCACCTACAGTCGGTGCGATTCAAATTTAGGCGCGAATCGATTATTCTAGAATCTCTTTACGCATCCGGTTAATTTCATTAATTATTTATTTGTCATTAATAACATCCCAAATTGAGTCAATAAAAATTAAATAATATCTTCTAAATAATACCTTCCGATTAAATCGTGTTATTTTATTTTTTTCTATTACAGTAAACATATAAATATTCTTAACGGAATTTTTCCACATTTTTCTTTATTTTTTTATTCAAATTAACACGCTTCTTTTATTTATTATTAGATATTTCGCTCCATTTTAACCGAATCAGCAGTCACTATCAAAAACCTGATAAGCATTCACTTTTTGCAGATAACAAGAAAGAAAATCGCATTTATAATAAAAAATCAATTTATTTAAAAACTTCTCTTAACAATATATAGTTATATCATAAATATGCGAACGCTATTCAAAAAATACGTGTTTACTATTATTTATTTATCTTTCTTAAAAATAGAATCTATAATAGAATAGATTAAAAAGAAAAAAAAACATCACAAACGCATGTATAAAATATATTTCTTTTTTTTAACGTAGTCTTTTGAGCTTTATTAAGCCACTTTGGCGTTGCTGCTGGGGAGATCCTAAAAATAACACTCGTCCTACTTCAAACCCAACCGAAACCAAAAAATTGTTAAACAAAATTTTTTTTTTAAATACATTTCTAATATCACCACAACATTTTTAATTTTTAACTTTCAATCATTAATTTTTTGTTTAACAATTTTGTTCTTTAAATTAAATTAAAACCATTAAATTAAAAAAAAAAAAAAGAAAAATCAAGGAACATTTTTGGGGTTTTCGTACTGCGTTGGGTTTCTCTTTATTATAAAACAAAATAAAACTCCCAGCGGCATAAAATAAAACCAAAGATATAAACACAAGCTCAAAACAAAAAAAAAATTAAATTTTTTAGTTTAAACAAGAGTTGCTGTAGATCTGGAACGCTCACTTCCGTTATCTGGTTGATCTTCTCCTCGGTACCAATTTGAATTTATGTGGGAATATGGCTCAACTGGCGATCCAATGTTATGGTTCATACTAACTGGTGACATTTGGTGGCTCATGTTTGAATTACTTAAAAAGATAATAAATTATTAATTTTTTTTATTTATAAATTATATTTGATAGCAGATATCTTGATTATTGTTGGAGATATGATTAAATGTTAAACTCTAATATATAAACTAAAAAAAAACACAATAATTTTCATGTTTTTCTCGATATTTATGCATCTGAGAGTAAAAGTGAAGGAGAGCAATATTATTAAGAATAAAATTTGCCACAACTTTCACTCTAAAAGTTTTTTTATAATATGCTTCGAATCCCGCTTCATCTAATTTTCATATTTTTCTCGATATTTATGCATCTGAGAGTAAAAGTGAAGGAGAGCAATATTATTAAGAATAAAATTTGCCACAACTTTCACTCTAAAAGTTTTTTTGTAATATGATCCGTTTCCAGAATTCCACCATTAACAATTTGTGGAACAACGAAATTCATCAAATTTTCACATTTTCGTATTTTTCTCGATATCTATGTATCTGAGAGCAAAAGTGCAAGAGAGCAATATTATTAAGAATAAAATTTGCCACAACTTTCACTCTAAAAGTTTTTTTATAATATGCTTCGAATCCCGATTCATCTAATTTTGATATTTTCGTATTTGTCTCGATATTTCTGCATGTGAGAGTAAAACAGCTCTTTCACTTTTGCTTTCAAATGCGTAAATATCGAGAAATGTACGAAAATTTGCTGAATTTATAGTTTTACAAGTTGTTAATGGTACTCGGGATTCGAAGCGTGAAAACTGGGGCATGTTCCATTTGATGTTAAGTGTGGAGCAACTTTCTTCTATAACATTTTGTCATATCTCAAACATTAGTAGAGATATCTGTTGAGACAACTAAAATCAAACAACTTGTATATTTAATCTTTGAAATATTTTAACCCTTTATACTTCACCTAAACTACCATTTTCATCATATTTTTGAAAGCTAATTAAAATCAAACTCCCAATAATGGAGGTGTTCCAACTCAACAAAAAAACATACCAAAATGAGCTAAAGAAAAAATAAAATTCCGGCTGTATTAATCTCGTAGCTCGACTGTTAGATATGGAGTCTGTTATTCTTCTAAAATAGTTGCTTGGCAGAAAGGCAAACTATTTGTCTAGCCAAACTGTTTTTTTTTAGATCATCTTCAGGAAGTTATTTCTCAAGAACAGGTGAAGATAGCATAAAATGGGTTGTTGCTTTTTAAACGCCAAAGATATAAACGAAACGACATGCAAAATAACTAATGATATAAAAACAGTAACAAAAAAGATCTGTTGCAGAATCAAAAATTAACAGCATTGTCAAAAAAAAAAATACGAGCAAACTTAACAGCACACCAAACGAGAATACGAAAATATTAAGATCAAATTTAGCCAAACGAAAAAAAAAATACGAATTGTAAAAAAATTCTGCCATACTAAAACCAGACTAGACATGTCCTTCGACAACTGAAGAACAAGAAAACTCTCGGTAAGGATTCCAAAATTTCGGAAATGTTAAAAAAAATGCTCTTAAATAAATGTCTGCTCACCTCTACAAATTACTGACTAAAATTATAACGAATCGTCTTACAGTAAAAATAATTATCTTGATTATTATTGGAGATAGGGTAAAATGTTTCTAGACATTTAATATTTTCTTATCTAAATACTCTAAAACACAATTGACCATCAAATGTGTTAGATACTAGATAATTTTCATATTTTTCTCGATATTTACGCATTTAAGAGTAAAAGTGAAGGAGAGAAATATTATTAAGAATAAAATTTGCCACAACTTTCACACTAAAAGTTTTTTTGTAATATGCTTCGAATCCCGATTCATCTAATTTTGATATTTTCGTATTTTTCTCGATATTTCTGCATCTGAGAGGAAAATAGCTCTTTCACTTTTGCTCTCAGATTCGTAAATATCGAGAATAATATGAAAATTCGTAGTTTCACAAGTTATTAATGGTATCACTCAGGATTTGGAGCGTGAAAACAAGTTAACTACTGTAAATATATACAAAATTTTAAATTCTACGGTTTACTTATAGCTGAAATAATAATTAAATGTAAATTTTTGGCTCAACTTTGATCGCTTATAGCTCGAAAACAAAAGTTGCGACCCTATGTTTATATAAAAAAGTTGTTATTTTGGCAAGTACTATCTTCTAGCAAAATTTCCTAATTAAAATCTGAACCATCCTGTATAACAAGCAATCGCAAAGTTGGCCGAGATTATTTCATATTCACTTCTTAATCGGGAACTTTACTAGGATGTAGTACTTACCAAAATAACACCACTGTTTTATATAAACATAGGCTCGCAACTCTTTTATTTTCGAGCTATGAGCAATCAAGTTGCAATCAAAAAGTTCTTATAAAAAATCAAAGGGGTTGTGAATTTCATCGCCTTAGAGGGCGCTTGGAAAGTTTAAGGTATGCTTGAAAATAAGGTGATAACCTACTGGTTAATATCTTATTAACTACTGTAAACACATACAAACTTTTAAATTCTACGGTTTACTTATAGCCGAAATAATAAGTAAAATGTAAATTTTTGGCTCAACTTTGATCGCTTATAGCTCGAAAACAAGAGTTGCGACCTTATGTTTATATAAAAAACTTGTGTTATTTTGGCAAGTACTACCTTCTAGCAAAATTTCCCGATTAAAATCTGAACCATCCTGTATAACGAGCAATACTTGATCGGCCGACGTCTTCGAAGTCGGCCGAGATTATTTCTACCATAAACATCAAGTGATACTATTAACAACTTGTTTCAGCAAGTTTTCATATTTTTCTCAATATTTACACATCTGAGAGCAAAAGTGAAAATATGAAAATTAGATGAATTTCATATTTCTCATAGATTCTGAGCATATTACATATAAGGTGATATATCGTTGCAGCAATTTTTTTTTGGGCAGGTTCCATTTGATGTTAAGTGTGGAGCAACTTTCTTCTATAACATTTTGTCATATCTCAAACAGTAGTCGAGATATCTGTTGAGACAACTAAAATCAAACACACTGTATATTTAATCTTTATAATGTTTTAACCCTTTATACTTCACCTAAAGCACCATTTTCATCATATTTTTGACAGCTAGTTAAAATCAAACTCTCAATTTTTTTTTCAAATTCTCGAACATTTCTAGCTGTAGCTCGACAGTCAGATATGGAGTCTATTATCCTTCTAAAATAGTTACTTGGCAGAAAGGCAAACTATTTGTCTACCCAAACCCTTTTTTGATCATTTTCAGGAAGTTATTTCTCAATAACAGGTGGAGATAGCATAAAGTGGGTTGTTGCTTTTTGAACACCAAAGATATAAATGAAACGACATGCAAAATAACTAATGATATAAGAACAGTCACCAAAAAGATCTGTAGCAGAACCAAAGTATTAACAGCATTGTCAAAAAGAAAATACGAGCAAACCTAAGAGCATACTAAACTAAACAAATCCTAGAGACTATAGAAAATTACGAGAATACGAAAATATTAAGATCAAATTTAGCCAACGAAAAAAGAAATACGAATTGTAAAAAAATCCCAACATTCTATGAAAAGCTATACACTTCTGCCATACTAAAACCAGACTAGATCGATTAGACATGTCCTTCCACAACTGAAGAACAAAAAAACTCCCATGTTAAAAAAATTGCTTTCAAATAACTGTCTGCTGACAATTACAAAGCCTTTGGTAGTATTAAGACCTGATCATTTCTGGCAGCACTACAAGATGCTAGAATAGATTCGCGATACACCGCTAAAAATATACTTTCACATCAAAATAGATGAGGATACAACAGCGGAAAAAATTCCTTATGGCAAAAGGTTCACCTTAGCCTTGGAAAATAATTTTAATCAATTGGATTGGGAAAATATGTGTCTGAATGTAGATGGCGTACGCTTAAATCACTGCTCAGTTCAGACATAGATTAACTGGAAAAGATGTTACAAGATCTAAAAATAAAACCAAAATAATGAGCAATATGCAAAATGATGTTCTCATAAATAACGTCTCATTAAAGAATGTAAGCCAGTACATATATCTTGGTCACACTATTAAAATTGGGAAAGAAAATCAAACAGCCGAAATTATTATTATATGATTCCGTATTTGGAAACAGAGAGAAGCCTAAAACGATTGATGGAACGAACAATCGAGGTCACTCTGAGACTCTGAGTAACATTCGCTTGGATGAAGTCTATGTCCAAATGTTCTGAGGAAGAAGAAGACTTTAGAAAGAGCAGAACTTTCTAGAAAGAGAATGCGATTTTGGTCAAGAATCAGTCAGTAAAACTACCATCTATTACCTTGATGAAACAGCAACCCGAAAATCGCACAATTTGGTGTTAGCCATGTAGCCCACGTGAAGAGTTGGCTTGGCCTAGCAGAAATGGCAATTCTTAACTGGAGTGCTATGAGATCTAGATATGCTTCGATGAGCTTCAAGGTTGCGGAGTGTTGCCTGAGATGAACATCATGCAAGAAAAGTGATAAGCCTCCCAGAGAATAAAAGAGGAAAAGAAATGAAAATAATTTATCTGAACCGATTACCAAAGAAGTTTTCTGGAAAAGGCTTTGTTCATAATTTGATTTTGACACCAAAAGATGCCTAAAATACTAAACGACCTACAAATACTCGGAATCCCTAAGAACTTAATGAAAATCATTAACATGACCATAGCTAGATCCACGGAGAGGGGAGACAAGCAATATACAGCAAAAATCTACACTTCGATCAAGTAGAAGTATTTGCTTGTTTCCTTTTTCGCTTAAAATGTTCTTTAAACTCTTAAAAATAACTTAAAATATCAGTTATAAGTGGAAAAAGTTTTTAAGTTCCTGTATTTTGATCCCAAACGTTGTCGTGACAAACAGTGAAAACCGCTGATATCTTGTAAGTCGATCAGCATGAACCACCTCTTTCCCAGGAAGTGTTTGGGCCCAAAAACCAATTTATAAACGCTTCAACTCCATAATCTGCGGCTAAACGGTTTTGGATATTGCGATCTACATTTCAGTGTATGTGTAAAATGATGCCAGGGTATCCGCAAAATATTTGAGAAGAGAAGAAATTGTGAACTTAGAAAACTAATTGTATGGCGTTGGCACAGAAATGTTTCCTCTTCTCGCTTAACAGAATTTTCATCAAGCAGCTACATGGAGGTCATTTTTTATCTTAATTAAAAAATTTAAAAATTAGGTTTAGTTTTCGACTGTCTAGAGTGGTCAGGTAACCCCTTGAATCTAAAATTTTAGAGAAATTTATGGCTGTGAAGCATAAATATTAGAACAAAGTTATGGCTAAATAAAAGACGCTGACATCATAGAATAGAATGGATAGGGCAATAACAATAATAATGAGTATAAGCGACAACCGAACCTCAAAAACTGTACTCGACTGGAAACCAACAGTCCAAGATGTCAAAGAAGATCTGAAAACAATGGAAATAAGACGCTGCAGAGGAAGATGTCGGTGAGGACAGAATGGCGAAAATTATCTAAATAGCTGGGCAAAACCCACCATGGGTTGAAGCGCCAATAAAAGAAGAAAAAATGAACCAAATGGCAGCTTTCTATTAACCTTATGAGTCTAGGTATATTATATATACAGGGTGAGTTATTAATATCCCGGCGGACGATAGTTGCTAAACCGTTTGAGAAAGAAAAAAATGTTTTATACAAAAGTTGTTTGATTCACTACTTTCTATTACTAAAAATTATTTTCACTTATACAGGATGTTTCATTTACGCGTAACGGAGAGTATGTAATCTTTTTAAATGGAACACCCTGTATATTTTATGATATTATGAATAGCATTAAATTTGTTTATACAACCGTATATGTTACTAACTCATAGCGTTCATAGTTCCTGAGATATTCAATTGTTTTTCCAAATTGCAGGATCTTGTAATTCAGCCTGTATATTGTGTGCTGATTGAATTGCCCATCAAGTTACCTTTAATCAATGATAAGTATGTCATATATCTAACTTCAGTAATTTTTCTGATATTTAGAATTTAAAGAATAATGTGTAATAAAATATGCGTTATTGTACTTAATATTATATTCTGTCTATTTTTATCAGTATTTTTTGTTCTTCCTTTTATTATTTGATTAATATTTTATAATGTAAAATAATTTTGCTGCCATACACCAGATTTTAATGCGACTTGGTGAGATTTAAAAAGATGTAAGTAATAAAATATGCAATTGTTCTGCCATATAATTTATGACCTTAGAGAAAATAAGATGTACATGTTAAGAGATACCTCAAGATCTTTTATACAGCGCATTAATGCTTGTAGAAGAGAAAATGGGCGGCATTTTGAACAACTTCTAAATATTAATTAAATTAATACCTACTTGTTGAGCAACCTTTAGTAATTGTTTATAGTTTGATGCTGCATTTAATATTACTGATTTACATATATATATGGTTGTTTGTCTGTCATATATTATATGATCTGTGATATTATATGGTTTATATGATCACTTTTTTAAGTACAATAATGACATTTTATTACACATTTTCTTTAAATTTTAAATATCAGGAAAACTATTAAAGTTAGAGATATGACATGCTTATCATTAATTAAAGGGAACTTGATGAGCAATTCAATTAGCACGCAATATACAGGATGTTCCATTTAAAAAAACTTTAGAAAAAGCCATTTGAAAAACATCAAAAGTAAGTGAGCTTTTTAAACACCCTGTATAGTGTATCTAATATCTTTGAATACTATCATCTATATACTGGCTTTGACTATTGTCTGACGTAGTTACAAGGCAAAATCGGAGAAAATGTCGTTTTTACATCGTTTTTAAAAAGATCCTGTTATGGGCACATTTTGGAAGAACAATTGAATATCTCAGGAACTATGAACGCTGTGAAATAGTAACATATACGGTTGTATAAACAAATTTAGTTGTATTCATAATATGATAAAATATACAGGATGTTCCATTTAAAAAAAGTACATACTCTTCGTTACGTTTAAATGGAACACCCGGTATAAGTGAGAATAATTTTGCGTAATAGAAAGTGATGAGTCAAACAACTTTTGTATAAAATATTTTTTTGTTTTTCAAACGGTTTAGTAACTATCGCCGGGATACTAATAACTCACCTGTATATATATATAGGGTGTATCAGGTATGAGTAGAAAAAAATTGAGGGGTTATAGGTCTCCTCTTTCTGAATAAAAAATTCTTATAACACAATGTCCCATTCTTTGTCCTTCTTAAGATATGATACAATAAAGTTAATGGTTTACAAGTTTGAGTACTACTAATGAATAGTTTTGTAATTTTGTTGTTTTTAATACAATAAGCAGTTTTATTTAATAAAACAAAAAGTTTTGTAAATTTTCACATTAAAGAGTGATAAAACAGAAGTGATAAATTTATTCGTATAAAGTAAATAACTTCTAAAATGACTTTTATGTGTCAAATTAAAGTATATACATAAGCAAAGCCTGCCCTTTCAAACCCTTAATTTTATCATATCATATCTTAAGAATAGGACATTGTGTCATAAGAATTTTTTATTCACAAAAACCACCTGATACATCCTGTATATATATTATTATATATAAACACTTGGCACAATGCATTAATGAGTCAATGCCCAAATTCAAAGAGTATCCAGGAAAAGTAATACTCAAGGATAAATAATAGAAATAATAAGTGCCATAATAATCATCTTAACCACGAATCTTTTACATATTGAGAAGGAAGAAGATACCTAATATACAAGTTTTTCTAAAATTCTTTTTAATAATGTTCATATATAAATGTGAAGTGTAAAGAGTTAATTTAAAATACCTTAAAGGATTATATGGTTGACATTTCATCGGTTGTAATGGTTGATAAATCCCTTTTTGAGTAACATTTTTAACCCCATCATCCATATATCCACCGTGAGATGAGCTACAAGGCGACACAGCAATATTCGGCGAATTTAAATTTTTATCACCAGCAGCATTTTTAAACTTGGTCGAATATTTATAAAAATCCGACATCTCGAACGGTTTCGTTTCTTCATGATACGGCTTAACGTGTCCCGCCAAAACAACCGTACAATTCTTCGGTATATTATTATTAAATAATTCCAAATTTGCTTCAGGTACTTTCGGCGATGGATTCGATTCCGCGGGAATTTCCAAAATGTTTTTCGTCGTTGTCGGCGTTGTCGAAATGTAATTAACGTGAGGTGTTAGTTCTGTATATTTTACATCTGGCATTATGGACGGTATAGTTGATAATGATCGTGTTGGTTTTGGCGTTGATGGAACAACGGGAACATCGTCGAGGGACGTTTCGTACCACTCCTTTTGTTTTTGTTTTCGGGCAATCGTGCTGTTATCGTAATTGTAAATTTCGCTACCGCAAGATGAGTTATCATCGCTTGGGTACACGCTGTCTAACGTGTGAACGCCGACGCTTCCCAAGGATTGCGTTCGAACTAGTTGACAGTTATCTTGACGATTTCTATAAGTATTTTGCTAAAAAAAAAATTTTTGGAATCTTTAAGGAAACGCAATAAATTTTTTTTAATGTCATTAACGTGCCAAAATTTTAATGTTTACGTTAACTATGTTATGCGATTCTTACTTGAGCAATTGGAATCATTGCAGGTCGCGTTGCTTCTGAATGTATTGGAACTGAAGCTAATGTAGCTGATTTTGGATCAACATTCGGCGAAATACGCTTATGTAACCTCTTATTTTTTCTTCTATCTAAACTACCACATCTAAACAAAAAATAAATGATTAATACAATACATAATAAAGAAAATTTATTAATTTACCTCTTATCTCTTTGCCAAACATTATCAAAGCTACTATTATGACACCAAATCAATTCTCCATTCTCCTTCCTCTTCCAATAACCACCTAACCCGGATGGCATAACATCGTGTTCGTATTGTTGATGTGGTTGAATTTGTAATGGATTGTTATATGGATGTTGTTGATCATAATTTCCCAACGTAGAATAATATTGATTTTGATATGAATACAATTTTTGATTCTTAGGAACGGTGTTTGATAAATTTTTGTGTATTTGAGGGGGAGTATTTAATCCCTTCGAATAATAATCTTGATAAAAACTCCCGGAAGGTGACGATTGAAGCGTCATCGGGGTTTTTGGGTAAAAATGGGGGCTTTGATGAGGTTGTGATGGATAGTTATGAGGCGATGAGTTTGGATATTGATGTGTCGACGACGAATCCGAACTTTCATGACTACAAAAAAATCATTATATTATTATATTAAATTATATAATATAGTCCACGCCAAAAGTAACCATAACACGTCGATTTTTATTTTTTATTAACCAAAAAATATTTTTTTTATAGTGGTGTAGAGAAACATCAAACAATATGCATAAGAATGACAATAGACCACCGTAAGGTATTGTACGTTAAAATAAGGAGACTTTGTGTTTTGTTACTTTTGACGCGAACTGTACGGGGTGTCCAAATTTCGATGGGTTTTCGCGAACCTGAGCTACTTTTTTGTGAAACTTATAATGCCGCAAACCAAATTTTCATAGACCTCTTCGTTTTTGATATACAGGGAGTATCTCGGCTATCCGGAAACTTAGTAAAAAAGTAAAAACGGGTTCTAATAGATTTTTTCACGTAGAATTTTTCTAGACATCACAGTTTTTGAGTTATAAACACAACTTTTTTTTTTTTTAATGGAACCACCTATATTTTATTTTTTTATTGAACTAGAATTTTTTCAAGCTTTCCAATGATATATAATACTCTATACTTGCCTTTATAATTAACCTCGAAATTAAAAGAAACCACATTATTTTATAAGTAGGCTATGATAAATTAAGTAGTGTCCGACCGAAATTTCGGTTTCGGCCTAAAATAGGGATTTCGGCGAAGTTTCGGTTTCGGCTGTATTTTGGCCGAAATCGAAGCTACGCCGATAAAGCTTCGGATCACCGTCGACTTTACTCGACACACGTGTTTCACGCCAATTTCTGAACATCCTGTATATCGTGTGACCCATTTGAAAGCGGAACACCCTCGTAAAATTTGTATTTATTATTTTTTTTTTGAATGAAATTTCGTATATGCCGATTTCAAACGGCGCTTAATGCAATGGTGTACTCAGATTTTTTGTAAAAAATTTCCTAATATGATTTCTTCATTTTTAACACCTAAAAAGTGAAATAGTATCCCTTGGTTTTTTCAAAAAAAATATGACTCTGTCCTAAGGTACAGTTTTTTACGGACTACAATTCAAAAAAAAATTGTCGAAATCGGATAATAAATACAAATTTTACGACGGTGCTTCGCTTTCAAATGGGTCACACTGTATATATAAAAAAATTAGTTATATTCATAATTAAACATACCTTATATTGTATGCTAAAAATAGCAATTTTTATGTATCTTGTATTAATTCCTTCTTTTTTTTTAAAGAAAAGTTTCGGTTTCGGCCCAAAATTGCGTTTCGGTCGGACACTAAAATTAAGTGATCGCGTTGCTAGGATACCAGAATAAACAAAGAATTTTGAAAATACTATAATATTAATTATTGACTTATTAAAAAAATATATCTATTAATTTTTGTTTGCAAAAAACGAAAAATTATTAAAAACTAAACATTATGCAAATATGGCATCAAGTTACAAGAATTGTTCAAAGTTGTTACCATTTTGATGCATACATTGTTCACAAAGTTTAGTAATGCGTTTAATTGCATTTAGAATAGTTATGGGATGTTGAAATGTGAAAAAGCATCAGTTACAGCAATTTTCAATTCCAACTTTGTTCCCATAAAAAGAAGTCCAATAATAGATAAATCAGGTGATCTTGCTGGCCATCGCGTTGGACCATGTGTGCCTATTCACCTACCAGGAAATTCTGCAGTTAGGTAGCGACTCACTAACTGCGCAATAAGAGGAATATCATCCAAAATCTCTGGCAAAGCCTCATGCAAGATGGCCAAATAGCGATTAGCGCAAAGGTTTCCTTCAAATATTTTGTGAACAATTCGTGGCCCAATAATAAACCATGCCACGCTGAAACCAAAATTTCCTTGACGCTCCCGCTCAATTACAATATGTTGGTTTTCTTGATGCCAATGCCTGTTATTATGACGATTATAGATTCCTCTGCTGGTAAAATATGCCTAATCAGACCATATAATAGAGGAACTAAATTCAATATTATTTTGTACATGGTTCAAATACCAGTTACAGAATTCCAAATGTCGTTCGGCATCTCCCGGGTGTAAGTGGTGAACTATTTGTTCTTTGTATATATTTATACTTTTTTAGAATCGCACAGGCTGTCGATTTTTTAATTCCAACTTGACATTCAATTTCCCTACATGATGTTTTAGGCGCGACTTCCACACTTCCTAATACGGTAATTTCATTGTTATTCCGATTTTCTTTATTATATTTTTTTGGCCTGGGCATCAAAAAACTTCCATAATTGATCAAATTACGTTTTATTCGCGAAAAAATTTTTGCGCTCTTTCTGGATATCTGAAGTGAAACAATCTGCTAATAAAATGTTATTGCTTATAAATGTTGCATTCTACCTATTTATGTATAATTCAGGAACTTGATTAACATTTTCATTTGCATGAATGTAACATGTTAGCATGTCATATTTTTCATAGCGCTCCAGTTAAAGAAAAAGATAATTAAGTTAAGTTAATTAAAGGTAATTAAGTAACACACGACTTATTGTTAGCACAAAATTCAAAATTAAGTTTGACAGTAATTAACTATATTTACTTTGTTTATTCCGGTATCCTAGCAACGCGATCACTTAATAGACAACCTAAGCCTTGACGTAACAGAGATGGGCGGAGCTTATATCGACTCCAAACATTTTCGTAGCTAAGTTTGTTGCTAACGGTAAATCACCATATGCAATTTTTCAATTAGTGTTAAAATAAAATAAACTAAGTGACTTTTTATATGACATTTCAAATGACATTTTTATTACGGTTTATCATTAGCAACGAAATTGTTTGGAGTCGATATAAGCTCCGCCCATCTCTGTGACGTCAGGCTAGGCAGTCTATTTATCATTGCCTACTTATAAAATAATGTGTTTTTTTTAATTTCGAGGTTAATTATAAAGGTAAGTAGAGTATTATACAGGGTGTTCCGCTGACTCGGGGCATAAAATTAACCTCATATACTAGTGCAAAAATGATGACGATTCGTGAAAAAAAATTATTATAAAAGTCTTCAAATGGCCAAGATGTGGGCCATCAAAGTTCACAAATTTTAACACATTTTTCTAATTATTTTCAATACCATTTATGGTAGAGCATTGAAATTTGGTACAGGGTAAACAAATATCAAGCAAAATCATTGAACCAATTTTGACTTTGATCGGGCGGCGACAACCATGCTATACAGGCTGTCCCTAAAATTTGTTTGCTCAGAACTTTTTTGTTCGCTCCTAACCCTACATTTATTTTTGTACTTTTTAATAGAAAATTTATTTTAGAATCTTTTAACACTCTTTGAAAATTTTGATAACATTGACCGTTTTCGAATTATACGCGAAAATATTAAGCTTCGATTTCAATAACACTAAAAAACACAAACGTCGTTTAAACACAAACGATAGTTTTTTGTTAGTTAAGTTTTTATTAATTTTAAGTGTTCAAAATGGAGAGTTACACATTTAGTGAACAAACTGCCACGATTTTGACATTAAGGGAATATCATGGAAATTTCCGAACCGCAGAGCGCCCAATCGAAAAACATTTTTAAGGATTGAAACCCGTTTAAGGGAAAATGGGACGTTTAAGCCGAAATTTACTAACAACGGTAACGTAAGATCAGTCCGAACACCCGAACTAGAAGAAGATATTCTAGACTACGTAGAAGAAAATACTACAGCTAGTACTTTGGATATGGCGAGGCACTTTTTAACTTCAAAAACAACTGTCTGGAGTGTTCTTCACGAGCAACAGCTTTATCCATTTCATTGTTACAAAGTTCAGGAAGTTCGACTGGCTGATTACCCACTGCGACTGCAATATTGCCAAATAATGCAGCACAAAATCCAAATTGATGATCAGTTTTAAGAAAAAGTGCTTTTTACAGATGAATCCACTTTTTCTAAAGATGGAATCATCAATTTGAGAAATTTACATAGTTGGGCGGACGAAAATCCAAGATTTAAGAAAACTTGGAAATCACAATGGAGATTTTCTCTTAACGTTTGGGCTGGCATTGTGGGCGATGTAATTATTGGACCCGTTTTCTTGCCATCAAGGCTGGATGGACATACATACAGGCGACATTTAGAGGAATTAGATGATTTTTTAGATGACGTTCCTTTAAACACAAGGCAAGCAATGTGGTATATGCATGATGGTGCTCCTGCGCATAGCACACAGGCTGTCCAAGAATTTCTGAGGAAACGTTTTCCGGGATGATGGATCGCCGGATTTTACACCTGTAGATTTTTATTTATGGGGACGCGTTAAATCGCTAGTTTACGAATTGTTGATTCATTTTATCAACTTCGAACTGAGATCAATGTTCTCCGCAGAGTGCGCTTTAATTTAAGACGGCGATATCAGGCGTGCATTGATGCCGGCGGGAATGTTTTTGAACATCTGCTTTAGTATTTTTTTGTTCTTTTTTATTTATTACTATTTGTTTATAATTTTATTGTTCTTGTTAATATTTTTGTTAGAATTTTTGTTATGTTCTTGTTTGTTGTAACCGTGAAAATTAAATTTATTGTTTTGGAAATTACATTCTTTTATTCAACTAAAATAAATTAACACTGGATTTAACTAAGTCTGCACTTAGAAATGTATGCAAATAATGGTTATTAGCTCAGTCGTTTTTCAATTGTCATCGCCAACTCAGATCTTGCGGAATATGTTTCCTTTTTTTGTTTGTTACGATTGAAATCAAAGCTTAACATTTTCGCGTATAACTCGAAAACGGTCAATGTTATCAAAATTTTCAAAGAGTGATAAAAGTTTCTAAAATAAATTTTCTATTAAAAAGTACAAAAATAAATGTAGGGTTACGAGCGAACAAAAAAGTTCTGAGCAAACAAATTTTAGGGACAGCCTGTATAGCATGGTTGCCGCCGCCCGATCAAAGTCAAAATTGGTTCAATGATTTTGCTTGATATTTGTTTACCCTGTACCAAATTTCAACGCTCTACCATAAATGGTATTGAAAATATTTAGAAAAATGAGTTAAAATTTCTGAACTTTGATGGCCCATATCTTGGCCATTTGAAGACTTTTATAATAATTTTTTTTCACGAATCGTCATCATTTTTGCTTTGGTATATGAGGTTAATTTTATGCCCCGAGTCACCGGAACACCCTGTATATCATTGAAAAATTCTAGTTCAATAAAAAAATAAACTATAGGTGGTTCCATTTACGTGATGTCTAGAAAAATTCTACGTGCACCATTGGATTCTACGTGAAAAAATCTATTAGAACCCGTTTTTACTTTTTTACTAATCTTCCGGATAGCCGAGATACGGGGGGTGTCTGAAAATCGTAAATTTTGAAATATTCCCTGTATATCAAAAACGAAGAGGTCTATGAAAATTTGGTTTGCGGCATTGTAAGTTTCACAAAAAAGTGGCTCAGGTTCGCGAAAACCGCAACTTTCTATCTTTCATAACAACTGAGATACCCTGCAAATCCATCGAAATTTGGACACCCTGTACATATTAAATTATTATTTAAAAAAGAAATTCTTACTGATCATATTTATGTAAATTTAGTTTATGAAAACTCGTTAATAAACCGTCATCTTGTTTTAAATGAGTATTTTCGATAAATAAATTGTCGTCGGATTTTCGATAAGTTAATTTTGGTTGGCTTAAAAATCGATGTTCGTTAGTTTCGACGGTTTTTAGCGGATGTTGTAGCGATCTCATACTATGTCTTAAAGTACTATTTCCAAAGTTATGATCATTCATGTTTATATTAACAGAGACTGCATCTTCTTGTTCTGGACCTCTGGGTTTTTTCTTAGGTTTTAATTGAGTTTGTAAAAGCAATTGGTTTGCTTGATCGCGTTTTTGTTGCAACAACATATATTGTTGTTTATAATGTTCATAATGTTGCTTTCGTATAGTCTTAAACAAAATTGATTAAAACCACAAAGATTAGATAATAAAATTACTCACTTTGTTTAAGTTTGAGTCATTTGCAAGGCGCAAAGCTGCTTCAGCCATATTAAAATGCAACTGTATTTGGATTTCAAGGGATTCATCATCGTTGTTCATGTTTGTTATTAAATTAGGAGGAAGTTGGTATCTTGCACCAACTTTTGTGGCTGAGTTAGGTACTGTTTCATGATTTGTTGGTTCTGTGGGTGTCTCTGAAGGTGTGACACCTGTTAATTCGGCTTCTTTAAGGCATAATTCTCTTAATTCTTGATTTCTTTTAGCGATGGTTTCTTCTAGAACTTTTTTTCTTTCTTGTAAATAAGATAATCTTGCTGAATTTGGGTTACTGCTTGCTCCCATTTTAGAGATCTTTGTCTCATCCGCGTTTAAACCATCCCCTTTAACCAAAATGTGTTATTTTTTTGTAATTGTGTTGATAGAGGAAAAAAGTTTGGTTAATTTTACTTACCCATTCTAATAGGATCACTTGTCAACCTTCAAGGTGCGCATTTTTTCACCGAAATCTTTACAAATCCCAACCTATTTACATGCTTATCTGCATAGATAAAGGAATAATGTTGTTTAATATCAGTTAAGCAAGGATCTCATTGTATTTTCTAACTGTAATATCAACAGTTAATCTGTTTTGGGTTAACCATAATTAAAGAACATGTTTACCTACTACCAACTGACCAACTTTAACGTACACTTTTATCATTTTAATTTAATTAAAATCTAATTATTTTAATTAGCGTTGTGTTAATATCGAGAAAAATCTTCCTTTTTTACTCCAACTTGTTTATTTACGTTAATATAGAAATTAGAACGTTCTGGTTACTTAAAACACTTAACGTACCACTCCTACATTTTAAGTTGGTATTACTTGGTTATCATGTTCGGCGGGAAATATTTTTAAATTTAAAAACACTATTCATTCATAACATTTAATTAATATCATTTATAATACTTACAAGTTACAAATCTACTCATGAATTAAAAAGAGAATTAAGTTTGGAAGAAATTCAAGCTAACCCTAACATAGAAAACCAAAAACATATAATAACTAAGGCAATAACAAAGCGATATACGTAAACTATTAAATAAAAGAAGAATAATAAAGAGAAGAATTAATAAGGAAAAAATGGTCAAATAAAAAAATAATAGAATTAGAAGATGCAATTATTGCAGGAGGAAGATAAAAATAGTATGAGCAAAAAGGAAGATGCAGAAATATTAAACATTATATGCGACTTTTATAAGGAACTATGGAATGCGGGAGCAGACATGATGGAGACTGAAGAGAAAGAGAATGAACAGATACAATACAAAATAATGACAGAAGAAATAAGTGATGTAATATCAAAGCTGAAGGAAGGAAAAATTAGAGGTATAGATCAGATAAGAAATGAAGAAATAAAGGCAGGAGGAAACCATATAGTGAAAATATGGAAGGAAATTTTTAATAACTGTTTGAAACAAAAAAGATACCTGATAGTAGGATTCAAGAAGAACTTTTCCACGTTAGGCAATATTTTAGTCGTGCAGCAACTGATAAAAAAATCGAATGATTATGACTTCCCAATGCTCTTATTATTTGTAGACTTTGAGAAACAATCTTGCAGGTCATACAAACGTGGTATGGAAGATCAGTATATTGTTGAGTATACAAAAACTCAAAATTAAACATCGAAATGAACAATAATAAAAGGACGATAACTCTAGAAAATGGACTGAAGCAAGGTGATGTGACTTCTGCAAAGCTATTTAATGCAGTATTGGAAACAATGTTTGTAGAAGAAGAATGGAAAGACTGAATAAGAATAAATGGGCAATGGTTGAACAGGCTAAAGTTTGCAGATGACTTATAGGAAAAACGAAACGGAAGTAAGGAAAATGCTGGAAACTGGTCCTCGAAGAGGGAAGCAAACTGGTCTGGAGATAAATATAAGCAAGACAAAAGCAATGTAGTAGAGCATTTCGTATATCTAGGACAAAAGATTACAACTAAAAACGCAGGAGAAGAAATAACACGGAGAATGGCAATGGGATGGCAAATGTTTAACAAATACAAAAATATATGGAAATGAAAAATAGAAATGGAAAAAAAATTGTGCTCCCTGTCATGATTTATGGATGCGAGACATGGATATTAGCAAACAAAATAATTAAAAAGGTGAGGGTAATAGCAAGGGCAATGCATAGAAGGATGATGGCATTACAACAAAAGAATGGATAAGGGAAAAGTCAAAAATCGAGGATGTTGGAAGAATAGTATTGGATCGAAAAGGGAATTGGGCGGGTCATATTATAAGAGTACAAGATGAGAGATAGACCAAGAAAATCTTAGAATGGTACCCAATAGACAAAAAGAAAGACCAACTGCCAGCTGGGAAGATGAGTTTAAGAGGAGTAACATGGCACAGGGTACCTTGAGACCGACAAGAATGGAAGAGAATGAAGGAGATATACTTCCTTGTATATCTCCTTCATTCTGGCTTTACACGGACTAATATCACTAAAGTATGATTAATAATAAAGAGATCAGGAAGAGAAAAGGTTGAGTACACAGAAATATCAAAATTAATAAAAAAAAAAATGGAAAAAATAGTCATATAACAAAAAAATAATAGAATTAGAAGATGCAAAGGTCCGTACAGCTACACCTCCCTTTCAAGATATCAGCATTTTGATACTACTGTATTTATGTACTAATTTTGTACTACATTAAAAATGTTTGTACTAATCATTTAGTATTTTTTTTTATATATGTCAAAGTAACATGTCAAACCCCCCTTTCAAGATATTAGCATTTTGATAATTTTGTACTATTTATATGCTAATTTTCTGCTACATTAAAAATTTTTGTGCTAATCATCTAGTACTTTTTTTTATATACAGGCTGTTCCGTGACTCGACCGACAAACTTATACCATATATTCCGGGGGTCATCACGATCAAAAAATGTTATATCACCTACAGGTGAATTCCGATTTTACGATGTAACGTTTGACAAATTAATGATTTTTGTACTGTCTTATTAATTTAAGCCATTATGTCGCATTTTACTAATGCAGAATATGGTTTTTGCAATGGAAGTGCAAAAGTGTAGAAAGAGATGCAAATTGGCACGCTGAAGCAGTTTTAAATGCAGTTGAACGAAGTTCTTCTACCAGTATTCGTAGAATCTCATACTAGCTGATACAACGGGAATCCCTCAAACCAACGTAAAAAGAATTCTGCACTATGATGGCCTTTATTTCTCCCTATCATTTACAAAAAGTCCAGCATTTACTTCCTCAAGATTTAGAAAATCGAGTACGGTATTGCCAGTGGTTACAAAATAATTTAGAAGTTATTTCATACATACTTTTTACGGATGAGGCCCAGTTTACAAGGAAGTGCATTAACAACACACGTAATTCTCACATCTGGACGGATCAAAACCCACACGAAACAATCGTTGTTAACCATCAATATCGTTTTTCCGTCAACGCGTGGTACGGCTTGTTAAATAATCATCTTATTGGTCCTCATTTTTTGAAGGACGTCTTAGTGCAGAAACTTACATTCACTTTTTGGAAGAAGAATTGCCGAGTTACATGGAAGATATTTCTCTAGAAGCTCGTCGTGCCAAGCTACTAATTCGCTAAAGAATGAATTGGCAGTAATTAACTCGCAATATTCTATGACACGAAGGATAGCTGCATGTTTAGAAAATGCGGTTCTCATTTTAAACAGCTGCTGTAATTTTGTTAATTAGCTTTTATTTTTTTTATTTTTATTTCGATATCTCCTAAACAAAGAGGAATTCACCTATAGGTGATAAACCATTTTTTTATCGTAATGACCCCCTGAATATATGGTATAAGTTTGTCGGTCGAGTCACGGGACACCCTGTATATCAAAGTGGGGGTGTAGCTGAACGTTCAGTTACACCTCCTTTTAAAATATCAGCATTTTGTGCTATTTATGTGTTAATTTTGTACTGCATTAAAATTTTTGGTACTAATCATTTAGTATTTATTTTATACAGGGTGTGTCAAATATCTGGAGTATCGCCTTTTTAGGAAATTTCACCATGCTCTTTAAAACCCCATATCTTAGCCAACGTTCATTCAAAAGAACTCTAAATTGGCACACTACGGATATTATTTCGGTCACGAACTTGCTAGATATTGAATTTGAACCACAAGATTGGTCAAAAACCAGTTTAAAAGTTGTACTCTTGCAAAATTCCGGTAGCATGCTTGCGGTATAAAAGAAACTTACGAAAACATGAAATTGGTACTAGAAAAAATGCAGTATAATCAATTTGAATTCAAACTATGTGGTGACTTCAAAGTCATTGCTTTACTTCTCGGATTGCAGCTGGGTTTTACAAAGTCTTGTTGCTTTTTAGGCAACAAAGAAGAAAGGAATTGTTCAAAGATGACATATCGGAAGAAAATTTGAGTCCGTTAGAGAAATCTGCTTGGAAAAGTTTTAAAAATGTCGTGCAACATTTTTTGGGGAACCAAAAAGCAAGTAACTACAAAGATCTGATAGAAGAACTCGTAGTAGCAAGCATTGAGTTATAATATGTTACTCAAAATTCACTTTTTATACTCACACCTCGACTTCTCTCCCGAGAATCTAGGAGATGTTAGCGACGAACATGGAGAAAGGTTCCATCAGGATATTTCCAGCATGGAAAAACGATACCAAGGCAAATGGAGTTTGCAAGAGCCAAATACTGCAGAAAATCATATATTAAATTAAAATAAATTTCCTGTCACAAAAGGAACATGGATGCCAAAATTATTCTACATTTTTTTTCCACCTTAGGGAGTCTAAATAAAGTCAAAAATGTCAAAAAAGTGTGTGACAAATTAAAAGTTCATTTTTGTCAATCAGTGTAATTAATAAGCTATAATTAATAGATTTTTTTTTTGATTTAGCAGTCAAATTAATACATTTTGTAGAGAGTAAGAGCTTTATGATTGGGTGTCAGTATGGATTTGGGGGAAGTATTTAGGTGTTAAGTGAATCCTGGAATGAGCATTTCCAGGAGTTGCTACGACAGCTCATGGTTATGAGGAGGAGATCAAGTTGGATTACGCGACTGCTGAACCAAATTTGGAGCCTCCAAGAAAGGAAGAAATCTGATACTCTTACAGGTCATACAAACGTGGCATGGAAGATCAGTATATTGTTGATTATACAAAAATTCAAAACTAAACATCGAAATGAACAATAATAAAAGGACGATAACTCTAGGAAATGGACTGAAGCAAGGTGATGTGACTTCTGCAAAGCTATTCAATGCAGTATTCGAAACAACGTTTGTAGAAGAAAAATGGAAAGACTGAATAAGAATAAATGGACAATGGTTGAACAGGCTAAAGTTTGCAGATGACTTATAGGAAAAAACGAAACGGAAGTAAGGAAAATGCTGGAAACAATATCGAGAAGAGGGAAGCAAACTGGTCTGGAGGTAAATATGAGCAAGACAAAATTGTGAACAAAAAAATAAAATAATTGTTAATGGAAAGGAAATCGACAAAATAGAGCATTTCGTATATCTAGGACAAAAGATTACAACTAAAAACGCAGGAGAAGAAATAACACGGAGAATGGCAATGGGATGGCAAATGCAAGGCAAAAAGAGAAGAAAAGGAAGATGAGTTTAAGAGGAGTTGTGGAGGAGTAACATGGCACAGGTAGCTTGGGACCGACAAGAATGGAAGAGAATGAAGGAGATATACAAGGAAGTATGGCTTTACACGGACTAATATCACTAAAGTATGATTTTGTTTCTTAAATTTTGATTTTGTTCTGTTAAATTTTGATTTGTTAAATTGTAAAAAGTTAATAAGAGTTGTTTCTTCTGTTGGTGACAATAAATGGCTATCTATCTACCCAAGGGCGTCGCCAGAGAGGGGCAGAGGGGGGGCACTGCCCCCCCCTAGAGGTAGATTCGAAAAAAAAATTAAAACACAATCTCGAGTACTGAACAACTATCGAATGGAATGCCATATTTTGATCTGGAAACCAAAGAAGTTCAAGAAGTATTCCTCGGATTCGTCAAACTTGATGCTTTGGATGCGAAATGTATTGCAAAAGCCATAGATGAGTTTTCGGCAGAAGAAGATCTTGATCCGGACAAATGTGTTGGTTTAGGATTTGACGGTTGTTCGACGATGTCCGGGAAAGAAGGTGGTGTGCAAGCAATCCTACGCAGAAAATATAAAAAAGCTTTGTGCTTTCATCAAAGGAAGGTACCATCAAAGATATTATTACATTTTTTCAAGAATCAGTTTTGAGACGCAAATTGATACCAAATATTTCCAAGCTTTGCGAAACAAGGTGGAGCGAGAAACACAAAAATATTAGTGTTTTTAATGAGAATTTTCCTATTATAATGGAGGCCTTTGAAACCTCGTCACGGGAAGAAAATAAGAATAAATAATGCGACTAGAAAAAATACTTATCAGCTCCATGCAGCAGCTTCTAGAGTTTCGTTTATTCTCAGCTTTATTTTGATAGCCAAATACTCGGCTATGATGAAACCTGTGGTAAACGTGCTCCAATCCGTAGCTTTGAATGCAGTTAAGGCATCCCAGCACATTAGCCGCCTTTTGGAATTTATAGAAAACCACCGTAACGGTCCAGAAAACGTCACAAATGGAATTATTAGGGACGCTACTATTGTTGCAGAAAAACTTGGACTGGGAGAAGACTTGAAGTCCTTGCCCCGTATTGTTGAGAGACAACAACATCAGAACAACCACCCAGCAGCAAGCTCCTCAGAATTCTGGCGGAGGTCTTTAACAATACCATAGTTAGACTCGATTATTAATTCTTTTGAAGTTCACTTTTCTGAAGAAAACACCCCGTCATTTTCCTTATCTAAATTACACCCAACTCAAATGTTACACATGTCCCTTGAAGACCTCATAGAAGCTGGTGAAGTCTTTTTCCAATTTTACAATTTATCAAATATCAACAACGAAATCGAACTATGGAAAAAACTATGGCAAGATAAACCTGACTCAAAAGAATTAAGTGTTGTGGATGTCATAAAAGATAAATCATAAAAGCATTTATAATTTTGGTCACTTTACCCTGCACGACATATACTGTTGAACGATCTTTTAGCAGCTTGAGGACAATAAAACCTGGCTTAAAAGCACTATGGCAGAATGTCGTCTCAATGGTCTTCCCATGATGAATGTGTATAGGAAGCATATTTTTGAAAACTTTGAGGGTTTTATTAATAACCTGGTTGACCAATTCGCGAAGAAGCCACGAAAATTATGTTTTAAATAATTTGGTGTTATTTTTCAATTTTATCACTAATTAATAAACTCACTAATTGGAATCTATTTCAACAAACATTAGATAATAAAATTCATCTTAATGCTCATATGAAAACAAACGAAGACATTGGCAATGAAGTAGAAAAGTTCTTAAAAGACATACAAAACGCAGCTTGAGCATCAACACCAATTTTAACACCAAAACGTGTGGAACTTGATATCAAATTTAGATACCTATATTGGCAGAAAATCAACGCTATCACTAAGAAACAAGTTGCTAATATACAAGCAAGTATTAAAACCAAAATGGACATACGGAATTCAACTGTGGGGTTGTACCTGCAAGACAAATGCAAGTCTGATCCAAAGATTCCAGAACAAAGCACTAAGGTGCATAGTGAATGCCCTGGTATATAAGAAACACCGACCTCCATCGCGACTTGAAAGTAGCAATAGTGCGGAATTATAACCAAAACAATAATATCCAAAACGTGTGTTCCGCGTATCCCAATGTGCGCGTTTTTGTGTTTTGGTCTTAAAACGGTAAAAATATGGCAAAATTTATCTACTAATATTTATCTACATTATGGGTAAAGCAGACTGGACCATTGGGAAAACCTGCAAAACATTATCTAGGTTAATTTAGTGTTAAAAATAAGTAACTAATTAGTATGTATTTACTAGATGTTATACAATTGTGCTATGCATAATATAAAAAAAAAAACTCTGTAAGGCAGCGTTTCTCAATGTTTCAGTATTCGGGCCCCAATTTTCAATAACAATTTTTATTCCGCCCCCCTACCTTTTTTTTGCGTCAGTTGTTTAAACATTTTGGCAGCAGGCAGCATGAAACCTAATAAACTTAGACGCCATTTGGAAACACTTCATAGTGAGTACGTTAACAAGCCCCGAGAATTCTTTGAATTAAAATTAGTCATATGAAGAGCAAACATCATTCTTCAAAAAAACTTTGTTTGTGAACGAAAAAGTTTTACTTGCCTCTTACAAAGTATCATATAAAATAGCCAGATATAAAAAGGCTCACACCATTGGTGAAGACCTTATTCTGCCAGTTGCGATGGAGATTGTAGAAACTATGTTTGGAGATAATTTTGCCAAACAATTACAATCCATACCTCTTTCAAATGATACTGTTGCCCGCCGAATTGGTGATATAGCCGAAGATGTACAGCACCAGCTTCTCGAAAAGTTTTATGACAAATTGTTTTCGATTCAGCTTGACGACGCAACAGATAGCAATGAAGACGCTCATTTAATTGCCGATGTCTGGTTTTGTGATCGCATATCGGCACTAGAAGAACTACTTTTCTGCAAACCTATAGAACTCAAAGCAACAGCACTCGCTTTGTTTGATATTTTAATTGATTTTATTAATGAGGCAAACATAGAGTGGAAGAATTGCGTTGGAATATGCACCAATGGTGCTTGTACAATATCTGGAAGATTCCAAAGCGTACAAGCACTTGTGAAACAAAAATTTCCGCAATGTGTCTGGACACCGACCATCAATAGAAAGGCTCTGGTTTCCAAAGAAATGAGTCTCAACATTGTACTAACGCCGGTTGTAACTGTAGTAACTTATATAAAAATGAGACCCGTAAAATCAAGAATCTTTAATGCACTTTGCAAAGATATGGGTGCAGAACATTCGACGTTGCTATTTTATTGTGAGGCCATCGCGTGGGAAAATTCTACAACGTGTTTATGAGTTAAAAGAGGATAATTGCCATTTTTCTAGAAGAGGAAAACCGCCTGGAAGCCAAAAAGTTTCGAGATGCTTTATTTGTGATGAAATTGGTTACATATTCGAGAAATTAAATACCCTGAATCTACAACTCCAAGGAGCAAACACACATATGTTGGATAGCAGTGATAAAGTTAGTACTTTCTGTAGAAATTTGGAGCTGTGGAGCAGAAATGTAAAACAAAAAAAACTAGAAATGTTTGCAAATGTGAATGAGTGTGTCAAAACATACAAGGAAGAAGAACAGTATGTGAAAGTTGTTTTTGTAACAATAGAAAGTCATTTAGCCATGTTGGCACAGAATTTTAAAAAGTATTTTCTTGCTGACGACAAAATGGTAGCAACTTACAAGTGGGTTAGGGATTCATTTCGAACTATTCTCTCAACTGCAGAAGAAGAAATCTTCATAGACTTTACTGCAAGCGGCGAAATTTAGTAATAGAGAGAATTTAGTAATAAATCTCTCTTGAATTTTGGACTGGATTGGATGATGAATTTTCTCCACTGAAAACAAGAGCATTTCGTATATTATTACCATTTTCAACATCCTACCTTTGTGAAGCCGGATTTTCTGCGGTGGCTGCTTTAAAGACAAAATATAGGTCTCGACTGAATATAGACCAAAGAACTGAGAGTGGCTATTTGTAATATAAAACCTTCTTTTGAAAAACTTTGCTGTGCGAGACAGGCCCAAGGGAGTCACTAATAATTATAATCATTACAGCTACTTTTAATTTAGTATTGATGAGTCTATTATTAGTTTCATTTGGCATTTGACAGTACCTACTGATACAATTATATTTATAGTAATTAAATACCTAGGTAATAGTACGAGTGTATTTGTTTTAACGTACTTACTTAATTTTTTGTAATGTCAGAATGACATTAATTTTTGATTAGTCATTATCTTTTTTTTCATTTTGATGTGTTGGCGCCCCCCATGTAGAATTATGACGCCCCCCTAGGGCGGCGCGCCCCACAGGTTAAGAAACGCTGCTGTAAGGGGTTATGCTAAAATTGGATAATACAGGGTGGTCCACTTAACGTGAGACAAGCGATTATCTCGAAAACGGTTCATTTTACATAAAAATGAACCAAATGATCCAACCTAACTGCCTGAGCGTAAGGAACTTCATTTCCCAACTCCAACTGATCTCATAAAGTCAAAAAAGCAGTCTGAAGTATTAGGATCCAGATTGAAACAATTTTCGTAGCCGTGACGAAGAACTTACAAAATACTTTTTACAAGAAGAAAATTTTGTTTATTGCAATGATATTACTTCGGTCATGAACTTGCTAGATATTGAAATTGAACCATAAGATTGGCGCTTGTTTATAGACTGGTCAAAAACCAGTTTAAAAGCTGTACTCTTGCAAAATTCCGGTAGCATGCTTCCGGTATGAAAGAAACTTACGAAAACATGAAATTGGACTGAAATTGGAATGAAATTTACTAGAAAAAATTCAGTATGATCAATTTTAATATAAACCATGTGGTGACTTCAAAGTCATTGCTTTACTTCTCGGATTGCAGCTGGGTTTTACAAAGTATTGTTGCTTTTTAGGCAACAAAGAAGAAAGGAATTGTTCAAAGATGACATATTCGAAGAAAAGTTGAGTCCGTTAGGTAGAAATCTGCTTGGAAAAGTTTTAAAAATGTCGTGCAAAATTTTTTGGGGAACCAAAAAGCAAGTAACTACAAAGATCTGATAGAACTCGTAGTATCAAGCATTGAGTTATATGTTACTCAAAATTCACTTTTTATACTCACACCTCGACTTCTCTCCCAAGAATCTAGGAGATGTTAGCGACGAACATGGAGAAAGTTTGCAAGAGACCAGCCTTGAACCAAATACTGCAGAAAATCATATATAGGAAGATGGATGCCAAAATTTTTCTACATTTTTTTTCCACCTTAGGGAGTCTAAATAAAGTCAAAAATGCCAAAAAAGTGTGTGACAAATTAAAAGTTCATTTTTGTCAATCAGTGTAATTAATAAGTTATAATTAATAGATTTTTTTTTGATTTAGCAGTCAAATTAATACATTTTGTAGAGAGTAAGAGCTTTATGATTGGGTGTCAGTATGGATTTGGGGGAAGTATTTAGGTGTTAAATGAATCCTGGAATGAGTATTTCCAGGAGTTGCTGACGACAGCTCATGGTTATGAGGAGGAGATTAAGTTGGATTACGCGACTGATGAACCAAATTTGGAGCCTCCAAGAAAGGAAGAAATCTGATACCATAACGGCACTAAAACGCGGTGGGACAGCAATCTGGGAGAAGAATGAAGCATGGCAAACTCGGAAAGACATGGAAGATGCGTGTTGAACGATGTAGGACAGAGGAAGTCATATTTTGTCCAAAATTATATGAAAAACCTGAGATCGGGAACTCAATACAATTATTATTATACGGTTATATAATCAACTAACATTTCTATAATAATTAATTAATCTAATTTTGATTTGTCGAATAACAAACCTTGATAATTGCCAATCCTAAAAATTATATACAAATATTTCTCACATACCAAAAATTTCTTAACACGATTAACAAGAAGTAATTTAAATTGTTTACAATCCATTTAGAAGCCTCGCCATTTTTCCCACGAACGCCGACGTCAACGAAATCTTACATCCGGGGTGTTTACCGCGTTTTTATTAACATTTCCAATATGAAGTGCTAACGAGCTACAAGAAAAACATATTTAAACCTTTAACTACGCATCTAAACATCATAAACCAGCAAAATGTACAAAACCATTATCCTGTGTTGTCTTATCTTTTTAGTAAGCACCGAAGAAGTTCTTATTAGACATGTAAGATCACCAAGAGGTGGAGGAGGACATGGTGGTGGAGGAGGCCATGGTGGTTTTGGAGGAGGACATGGTGGATTTGGCGGAGGACATGGTGGATTTGGAGGAGGACATGGTGGATTTGGAGGAGGACATGGTGGATTTGGTGGTGGACATGGGGGTTTTGGAGGTGGACATGGAGGTTTTGGGGGTGGACATGGAGGTTTTGGTGTAGGATCATTTGGTGGATTTGGAGGGGGTGGTTTCGTAATTCCACCTACTTTTTTTAGGAGGCAAAGAAGATACAGGTAATTTTTAATTATTTAAAACATTAATATTAATTAATCCTTTTTTTAGGAACCCTTGTTATTTAAGCCCTTTTTTCTGCTTTTGAGGGAGCCTTAAATGGAACTAATTGTTATGTAATTAATTAAAAATAAGAGTTAATTAAAACAATTAAGATATGAAATATTACAATTTATTTATTCATTTTATACATAAAATATATTATAAAATATTTATTAAATACATTTATTTTTTTAATAATAACTAACAAATTAATTTAACAATAACAAATAAATTAAACGTTGAACTTAACTTGTTGGAAATTGATAGGAAACAAGAAACCGGTTACACTGCAAGGCCATTGTGTGGACAGATCACGTTTTTACATTCAAACAAAAAATTAAGTCATACACAGCGAAGCAATACAATTTCCAAATAAATTAAATTAAAAACTAAATATCCCAGCTAAAAAGATGATGTTTAACCAACATATCTCGCACTCCATCTTTAAGTGGTTGGTTATTCATCTCCTTTTTAACAGGTAACTCCCAATCGGGGTTTAAATTAAATGATAACTGTGAAAGTATTCTTAAATCACATTTAATTTGAACCCAACCCGGGCTGTAAACAAACGACCACGGATGATACCATTTTTGCACAACCTCGCTGCACGAACACAAAACCTCCAACCATAAATGAAGGACTTGCTCATTTAATCCCAAACAAATTAATGAACGTAGTTTCACGTCCATTTGAACGTGCGCGTTATCATGCGATAAATTAATCGATTGAACGCAACGGTAAAGTAATTCTTCTGGTGTTAAAACTTTACCATCTTCATCCAATCTGTAAGTTTTACATAAAACTAAACGACTATAGACGGAATTAAAGTCGCGTTCAACTTCTTTTGTTGCGGCTTCTTCGATAAATAACCATGGATGACATGGACCACCTAAAATTTACATGTTAACTTAAATTTGTAACTTTGAAAAGATGTAAAATTGATATTTTAATCTATTATTGTGTCTCTGAAGATGGCTTGTAGCCGAAACTAGTAACATTTTATATACATACCTAAAAAATTAGGACGTTTCATTCCATGTTCCAAAACTTGCTTTAAAACTGGACATAAAGTTCCTCGAACTAAATCCGTAACTGTTTCTGATATGCTATCGTCGCCAGCACTGCTATATTGCTTACTACGCTCATCGAGAAGCTCAACAAATTTCGCAGGAAACCAACCTCTTAACCCATTTAATTCGCCAATCCAGCAATGTTCGTCTTTTTGGCTAATAATTGTGATGATATCATTTTTACGAAAACCTAATTCGTCATCATCGTGTCTTTCGAAATCTAATAAAGCCTTTGCCCTCCGTTTACGATTTTTGGAAACGTTTATATAATTTTGATGATCACCACTGTGACTTTCCATCGAATAATCGGCGATTAACGTGATTTCAGAACTTAATTTTGGATCCATTTGAAGGAAATGACGAGCGATTTGCAACACTGCTTCTCGTAAATCCACCAATATCTCAGTTTGCTTTATATTTTTACATTTTATATCATCCTCAGACGTTTCATTAAACAGCAATAGTTGGATTACAGATTTTGATTTTTTTACTTGGCGCCTTTAAAAAATTAAAATTATCTTATTAAACAAGCTAGTTATGAAATTAATACTCAGGATACTTCAAAGTAGGAAATTGATGCATTCTCTCCCGGATAGTTTTTAATATTCATGGAGAATGGATAATAAGGAAAGCGGTAGTAACCAAAAAAAAAAGTTATTAATCTCGCTTAAGAGGTTATACCTAGTTAGATTTCAAAAAAATTTTGTGAGCTCATGGATATGCCTTACTTGTGACATTATAGTGAAACACATATGTGATTCTGTAAAAGCGGTATTCGATAATCTTATGAGTTATGCTGTTGGACCAAATAAACATCATTTGACAGTGTCTGGCTATGGGACGTGGAAGAAACGTGGCTTTTCTTCCTTGTATGAAGTTTCTTCACTGAATGGGTACCATACAGGCAATACGGTAGCGTATGAAAAGAAGAAGAGAGGTGGACGCAATGGTTAAGATGTTCGCAAATAACATCGGAGACAACGATTCAAAAACATATGCTGCTATTCGAAATAAATCACCGTATAAAGATCTCGAAATCCAAAAAAAGGAGTGCATTGGACATGCGCAAAAATGAATGGGCACCAAATTGCGTGATATGAAAAAGACCAGTAAAAGTCTTGGTGGGAAAGGAAAACTTACTGCTAAAATGATAGACAAATTGACGAAATATGATATTTGGGCAACGTATTTTCATTATACTTCCACTAACAAGCACCTGCAATACGAAAAATGCCCTGTCGGCAGAGATTCATGGTGAGAATGGCAAAAAGGTACCTGAATCCTCTAGCGGTAACAGGAAAAAAGGTAAGATTCCGGCCTTTGAGCATAGCTACAAGCCTCTTCCTCAAAATTTATGAATATCTTTCCAAAGAAGGGTTACTGCAAAGATGTCTAGGCGGATTTACACAGAACAACAACGTAAGTTACAACAAACTTATTTGGAAAATCAGCTAGAAGAATCTTTCTGGAGGCGCAGTTCAAATTGCAGCATACGCAGCTACCTGCATTTTTAACGAAGGCGATGTAGTCATCTTGAAGATGTTCGAAGTGCTACTCCTAGCTACTCCTTGTGGCCATCACGCCCATGCATACATCACTAAAGCAATCGAACAGCGATGATTTTTATTTGCACAACAATTAACACTGTTAGTGCTAAAAACTTTGCCACCGAAAATCGAAATTTTTGAAAAAGTCATTTATCGAAAAAAAAAAAAAAAAAAACAAATTTTCATAAATCCTTCGTTCACGATATTTCTTTGATGTTTTGATTTCAGATGAAGTGGTCCACAGTTATCTTGCTCACCGCAAGAGGATCAACGAAAAACCAATTTCAGCTGGCCATATTTCTTTTATTTTTATACAGGGTGAGTTATTAGTATCCCGGCGGAGTATAGTTACTAAACCGTTTGAGAAAGGAAAAAATATTTTATACAAAAGTTGTTTGACTCACCACTTTCTATTACCTAAAGAGTATGGAAATTTTTTTTAAATGGAACTCCCTGTATATTGTGTGCTGGTTGAATTACCCATCCAGTTCTTTTTAATTAAAGAAAAATGTGTAATAAAATATGCCATTATTGTACTTAATATTATATTGTGTCTATTTTTATCGATTCTTTTTTGTTCTTCCTTTTATTGTTTGATTAATATTTTATGATATAAAATAATTTTGCTGTCATATATGTGAATTTTAATGCGACTTGGTTACTAGCCTCCAGAACATATGCTCAACGATATCTGGATAGACGGCATCCTCAACCAAGTGTTATATATAAACAGGGTTCGGCTGCAATTTGAAGAAACAGGTAATATTAATTACCAGCACAAAACTAGAACTAAAACGGCGACCAATGAAGAAAACGAATTTCTGGTATCTAAAATCGTCTAATCGTCAGTGTCTAAAATAATAAAGAGACAGATAACATCCCTATCATGTGCAACTTGTTCAGGAAATAAGCGAAAATGATTTTCAGACGAGATTACGACGAGTTTTTGTAATTGGGCCTTTGCGCCCAATTCAACAAGATGCAAATTATTTCGATTTTGTGCTTTTTACGGATAAGGCAACATTTCATAAAAATGGTTGTATTAACAATCACAATTTCCGTTATTGTGCAACGGAAAATCCTTATACTATTAGATCTCTAGATCATCAACAACATTAATTTACTAATTAAAAAAGAGATTTATTGTTCTGCCATTTAATTGTATTTTTATCACGTTTCGATTATTTATTTATTAATTAAATTATTTTAAATTGTAGTTTAATATAATATTACTGATTTACAAATGACAGACAAACAAAAAGAAAAACAAAAAAAAAGTGACGAAAAAGACAAAATGTAGTATTAAGTACAATAATGACATATTTTATTACACATTTTTCATTAAATGCTAAAAATCAAGAAAACTATTAAAGTTAGGCATATGACAGACGTATCATTAATTAAAGGGAACTTGATGGGCAATTCGACCAGCACATAATATACAGGCTGTTCCATTTCAAAAACTTAAGAAAAAGCCATTTGAAAAACATCAAAAGCAAGTAAGCTTTATAAACACGCTGTATAGTGTATCTAATATCTTTGGATACTATCATCTACTTACTGGCTTTGATTATTATCTAACGTAGTTTCAAGGCAAAATCAGCAAAAATGTCGTTTTTGACATATTTAATTACACATTTTTCTTTAAATTCTAAATATTAGAAAAACTATTAAAGTTAGACATATGACATACGTATCATTAATTAAAGAGAACTTGATGGGCAATTCAACCAGCACACAATATACAGGGTGTTCCATTTGAAAAACTTATGAAAAAGCCATTTGAAAAACATCAAAAGTAACTAAGCTTTATAAACACGCTGTATAGTGTATCTAATATTTTTAGATACTATCATCTATTTATTGGCTTTGACTATTATCTTACATAGCTTCAAGCCAAAATCAGCAAAAATGTCGTTTTTGACATATTTTATTACACATTTTTCTTTAAATTCTAAATATCAGGAAAACTACTGAAGTTAGACATGTAACATACCTATCATTAATTAAAGTGAACTTGATGGGCAATTCAACCAGCACACAATATACAGGCTGTTCCATTTAAAAAACTTATGAGAGGCATTTGAAAAACATCAACAGTAATTAAGCTTTATAAACACGCTGTATAGTGTATCTAATATCTTTGGATACTATCATCTTCCTACTGACTTTGATTATTATCTGACATAGTTCCAAGGCAAAATCAGCAAAAATGTCGTTTTTGACACTTTTGTTACACATTTTTCTTTAAATTCTAAATATCAGGAAAACTATTAAAGTTAGACATATGACATACGTATCATTAATTAAGGAGAATTTGATGGGCAATTCAACCAGCACACAATACACAGGGTGTTCCATTTAAAAAACTTAAGAAAAAGCCATTTGAAAAACATCAAAAGTAACTAAGCTTTATAAACACGCTGTACAGTGTGTCCGTAAAGTAACGGCGATAAAATCATTATAAGCGGTTTATGGAAAATCCCTGAAACGGGTCTGAAGATTTAAATTTTTTCCGCCATTTTTAAACGAGTTATGACATCACTGATTTTTTTTTCAAGTGCCAATCCTCTAATTTTTTTACGGAATATGTAAGAGGATCTTCTTCTGAATCTAGTACACTCAATATTAATATTGCTTACATAAGTAAATTTTCGAGAAAAATTACTTTAAAGATTAACTTCTTCAAATTTGCTTGACATGATAAAAATAGCAGTAGCCATGAGTATCTATGGTACCCAATTGTTTTAAACAATTCCTTGAGTGTCAAAAACTGATTAATGAAAGCTTGTTGAAATAACTGTCATTGGAATTCAGGGGGGACAACATTATGATATAGTTTTGAAAAAATCTAAATAAATTCCTCCAGTTAAGGTTTCCTCAAAAAGTAAGAAGTCAGGACAGTATCCCGTACTATTTCGCTCCACACATTGATGTTACGGTATTGATCCGTTATTGGGTGTGCGACTTTCTTGCCCAATGTCGATTTTGAGTAGCCCAATGCTGACAATTTTGTGTATTTACTTGTCCACTCAATGTGAATGTTCCTTCGTCAGTAAAAATATGTTTTTGACAAAGTCTTCGTCATCGTAGCAAAATTGTTGTTGGAAAAACTACGACTCATTGCTCGTGAATGAAGTTTACTTTATAGGAATAATATTTTGCGGTTTTTAAAATTTTATGAACCGTTGATTAACTAATGTCCAAAGGGGACATAAGGGTTTCCTTGCCCAGCCAAAACTACCTTTTGTTGAACCTCCCCTAAAACATTTGGTCGGGTAGACTTCGAGAAATCTCGTAGATGTCTATGCTTTTTAAATTTAGTCACAGCTAGGCTTACCATACTAATGAGCTAAGCAGTTTTCGATCAAGAAATGTTGCATTAAGGAGGTGAACTACTTATCAAATCATTTCTTGACACTGAGAAAATTGTTTAAAATAGTTGGTTACCATAGTTACTCATGGCTACTGCTATTTTTATCATATCAACAAATTTGAAGTAGTTAAACTTTAATGTAATTTTTCTCGAAAATTTTCTTATGTAACCAATATTAATATTAACGGTACTAGACTCAGAAAAACATTCCCTTTCATATGCCGTAATAAAAATGGGGGATTACCATTTGAAAATAATATCGATGACGTCATAACTCGTTTAAAAATGGCGGAAAAAAAATTGAAATCTACACTAAAAAATTGCAACAAATTTAAATCTTTAGACTCGTTTCAGCGATCATCTACCTACTTATTTTTTTGCCAAAATCAGCAAAAATGTCGTTTTTGATATATTTTATTACATATTTTTCTTTAAATTTTAACTATCAGGAAAACTATTAAAGTTAGACATGTAACATACGTATCATTAATTAAAGGGAACTTGGTGGGCAATTCAACCAGCACACAATATACAGGGTGTTTCATTTCAGAATCTTAAGAAAAAGTCATTTGAAAAACATCAAAAGTAACTAAGCTTTATAAACACGCTGTATAGTGCATCTAAATATCTTTGGATACTATCATCTATTTATTGGCTTTGACTATTATCTGACATACTTTCAAGGCAAAATCAGCAAAAATGTCGTTTTTGGCATATTTTATTACACATTTTTCTTTAAATTCTAAATATCGGGAAAACTATTAAAGTTAGCCATATGACATACCTATCATTAATTAAAGGGAACATGATGGGCAATTCAACCAGCACACAATATAGAGGTTGTTTCATTTAAAAAACTTAAGAAAAAGCCATTTGAAAAATATCAGAAGTAACTAAGCTTTATAAACACGCTGTATAGTGTACCTAATATTTTTGGATACTATCATCTATCTATTGGCTTTGACTATTATCTGACATAGATTCAAGGCAGAATCAGCAAAAATGTCGTTTTTGACATATTTTATTACACATTTTTCTTTAAATTCTAAATATCAGGAAAACTATTAAAGTTAGACATATGACATACGTATCATTAATTAAAGAGAACTTGATGGGCAATTCAACCAACACACAATATACAGGGTGTTCCATTTGAAAAACTTATGAAAAAGCCATTTGAAAAACATCAAAAGTAACTAAGCTTTATAAACACGCTGTATAGTGTATCTAATATTTTTAGATACTATCATCTATTTATTGGCTTTGACTATTATCTTACATAGCTTCAAGCCAAAATCAGCAAAAATGTCGTTTTTGACATATTTTATTACACATTTTTCTTTAAATTCTAAATATCAGGAAAACTACTGAAGTTAGACATGTAACATACCTATCATTAATTAAAGTGAACTTGATGGGCAATTCAACCAGCACACAATATACAGGCTGTTCCATTTAAAAAACTTATGAGAGGCATTTGAAAAACATCAACAGTAATTAAGCTTTATAAACACGCTGTATAGTGTATCTAATATCTTTGGATACTATCATCTTCCTACTGACTTTGATTATTATCTGACATAGTTCCAAGGCAAAATCAGCAAAAATGTCGTTTTTGACACTTTTGTTACACATTTTTCTTTAAATTCTAAATATCGGGAAAACTATTAAAGTTAGCCATATGACATACCTATCATTAATTAAAGGGAACATGATGGGCAATTCAACCAGCACACAATATAGAGGTTGTTCCATTTCAAAAACTTAAGAAAAAGCCATTTGAATAATATCAGAAGTAACTAAGCTTTATAAACACGCTGTATAGTGTATCTAATATCTTTGGACACTAATCATCTACCTACTGGCTTTGATTATTATTTCACATAATTTCAAGCCAAAATCAGCAAAAATGTCGTTTTTGACATATTTTATTACCCATTCTTCTTTGAATTCTAAAAATCAAGAAAACTATTAAAGTTAGGCATATGACATACGTATCATTAAATAAAAGGAACTTGATGTGCAATTCAACCAGCACACAATATACAGGCTGTTTCATTTAAAAAACTTAAGAAAAAATCATTTGAAAAACATCAAAAGCAACTAAGCTTTATAAACACGCTGTATAGTGTATCTAATATCTTTGGATACTATCATCTACCTATTGGCTTTGACTATTATCTGACATAGTTTCAAGCCAAAATCAGCAAAAATGTCGTTTTTGACATATTTTATTACACATTTTTCTTTAAATTCTAAATATCAGGAAAACTATTAAAGTTAGATATATGACATACCTATCATTAATTAAAGGGAATTTGATGGGCAATTCAACCAGCACACAATATACAGGTGTTCCATTTAAAAAACTTAAGAAAAAACCATTTGAAAAACATCAAAAGTAGCTAAGCTTTATAAACACGCTGTATAGTGTATCTAACATTTTTGGATACTATCATCTATTTATTGGCTTTGACTATTATCTGACATACTTTCAAGGAAAAATTAGCAAAAATGTCGTTTTTGACATATTTTATTACACATTTTTCTTTAAATTCTAAATATCAGGAAAACTATTAAAGTTAGACATATGACATAGGTATCATAAATTAAAGGGAACATGATGGGCAATTCAACCAGCACAAAATATACAGGATGTTCCATTTAAAAAACTTAAGAAAAAGCCATTTGAAAAATATCAGAACTAAGCTTTATAAACACGCTGTATAGTGTACCTAATATTTTTGGATACTATCATCTATCTATTGGCTTTGACTATTATCTTACATAGCTTCAAGCCAATATCAGCAAAAATGTCGTTTTTGACATATTTTATTACACATTTTTCTTTAAATTCTAAAAATGGATGTTCCATTTAAAAAACTTAAGAAAATGTCATTTGAAAAACATCAAAAGTAACTAAGCTTTATAAACACGCTGTATAGTGTATCTAATATTTTTGGATACTATCATCTATCTATTGGCTTTGACTATTATCTGACATAGCTTCAAGGCAAAATCAGTAAAAATTTCGTTTTTGACATATTTTATTACACTTTTTTTTTCAATTTTAAATATCAGGAAAAGTATTAAAGTTAGGCATGTAACATACTTATTATTAATTAAAGGGAACTTGGTGGGCAATTCAACCAGCACACATTATACAGGGTGTTCCATTTAAAAAACTTAAGAAGAAGCCATTACGCTTAAATGGAACGCCCTGTATAAGTGAAAATAATTTTATGTAATAGAAAGTGGTGAGTCAAACAATTTTTATACGGTTTAATAACGGTTTAATAACTATCCACTCACCCTGTATATTTGGACACAAAAAAATGTTCGTAAAAATTTCTTTAAATCCTTAATATTCCGCATCCCAACTAGATATAACCCCATAATATAAATGTAATTTTACCGTGCTAAATGTTGTTTAGGAAGATTCGGAGTTGCTTCTGGATTACCAACTAACGCCCCTTGATCAGCCATTAAATAAGCTAAATGTCGCCTTCGATACGTTTCTAACATCACATCATTTAAAGAATTAGAAACTTGTAATGCAACTTCAGAAAGCGTTTCGACATCGTCGATATCCCCAGGAATATCCGACAAAGCATTAAATATTTGTGCTGAATTTTCAAGTTGTTTCAATTGCGGTTCTTTCATTTTTAACATACCCAACGTTATTTGAAACAGAACTAAAGAACCGTCGAAAAATAATAAATCCCAAATTCTTAATAAAATTTTCATGTGAACCACGCTAGCAAATAAGGTTAAAAACCAATGTAAAGTGATTAAAGAGAGTTCTATGTCGTGGTTTTTTAAAGTTTCGTCTATGTCAGGTAAATAATTTGAAATTAAAGTTCTTAAAACGCGTTGATCAGCTTGAATTCCAATTAAAGTTGAGCTGTAATAAGAAGCAGGTAATAAATCTTCCACAATGGTGACCATAATCCAAAAAGCATCTTCTTCTTCTAATAATAATAATAATGAAGCAACAATCATGCCAGTTCCTTGGCAATAACCTATATCAGGATATAACCAAGCAATTCCTCGTAAAATTCTTCTTAATCTTGGAATACCAGTACTATTAATATTACTAAAACAAGCATTTGAAGGCATTGTATGTAACAAATCTTTTTCAATTTGCTTTGAAGTCATTAAAGAATCATTACTTGACATTTTAACTATATCTTTGTAACCTAATTCGCTTTGTTGTTTCTTTTGTAAAGCTCCAGACATTCGTAACCACATTTGTGGCCTTAAAGAATGTGGAATACCATTCCGTATCATTGTTCTTAATTTATCAGTTCTTGGTAAATGTATTTCAACTTTATCCCAGGTCAAATCAGACACTTCTTTGTTATGAGAAAATTCTAAATGAGCCACCCATTGTAAACGGTGTTGAGCATCTTCCACAAATGGCACACCAAGCAATTTATTTGAATTTTGTTCCGGACCGTCCTCCTCGTCTACTCTAAAACCAAATTCATCGAAACGATATTCCGGTTGCGAATTGGGATCTTCTGGTATAACTGAAAGTTTTGCCATGATGTCTTGAGGCCACATGCTTGGTGTTAAAGCTGAAAATGGACCTCCAGGACTAGGGGTTAATAAATCACTCATGTGGAGGGTGTCAGAAAAATGTTCTGCAAAAGAATCTTCTTCTTGATCATCTTCACTTATTGCTAATTCTAATTCGCGTTTCTAAATAATTAAATATTTTTTTATTATGAAAGAATTAGAATAAAAAAAAAATTATAATCCTTACATTATGGTCTTCTTTCCCAACATAACCTTCATGGTCTCTGTGATCCCTAAATAATGATTTTGCAATATCCATTTCGATTCGATTAACTAAACTTGTTAATAATTGGGAATGTAACAAATAAAAACATCTATTTATTAAAGGTGCTATGTATACACTTTTGTAAATTGTCAAACGTCAAATGACTTAAATGTCAAATGTCACGATCATAGACTTCTTAATTAACGGATTAGTACTTAATTAAATGCTTATATTTTATTTATTTCTTTTCATTTTTATGTTTTTTGTTAATTTATTACGAAATTTTCGTTATCTTTAATGGAAAATTGATAAAAATACAATAAGTGGACATGAAATTAAAATTTCGGATCATAGACTTTAAAGTTGATGGATTATTTGTTGTTATTTATCGAATTTAAATTTAAAAATATTTTTATTTTCAACTAAGTGTAAGAAAAATATATTCTTGAATAAAAATTAAAAATAAGTTTGGGATAAACGAGACAAGATGAGGTCTCCAAAAGGTAAAACGTCGAAGGCTAATAATAATATACAGGGTGGTGAAATGAAATTCACCACCTCCTTGATTTTTTTATAAGAACTTTTTAACGCTATGGAATATTAACATAAAAAAATATAGGTTGTAAAGCTCATTCTTTAGTGGAAATTTTTTATCTCTTTAGTATTTTCCTTAAAGTTAATAGTTTCCGAGTAAAAAAATATATGGCGCTATGTGCCGCCATGTTTAGCTAAAATTATTCTAAAAGTTGGCTCTGAGAACTTATAAGTTTCATTTACGGCGAATCCTCATAATTGTTGATGATTATTAATAGTGATGGAACGGATAGTGAGAGAGAGAGAAAACAAATTTTATTTTTGGATGCAAAAAATACAAATAAATTAAAAAAAGGAGTATATAAATACAAAAAAAAGGTTATAAATTAAAACCCAGCCAAAAATAGGGCTATCGACCGGAGACTTTCTGCCCATGCAAGTTCTAGTTAGTGGCAGCTTCAGTCTTCTCTGTTCATCAACAGTTTTTGAAGTTTTTGTCAGTTTTATTTAGGGTAGTTTTATGAAATAAAGATTGTAGACGGAAGTTAATGGGAGGGATATTAGTGAGGTTATGTAGGAGATCATTGCTAGGGTTAAAAAGAGGATTTCGGGGATTACTTATTCGTGTTATGGACCTCAATGCCGATCTTTCTGCGTCTTCTAAGAGACACCACACACTACAGACTCTTATCGGCCGATAGTTTGGTCTAAATCCAGTTCATCTATATCTATATTATCAATTACACTGTGGTTTTATAATTTCATGTAACGAGGTTCAAAAACCTTGAAATAACCTTCAGACTTGTTTCTGCGAAATTAGGCCAGGCTGCCAGCAAGAGGTGCAAATATGTTTACTTCGATAAAATGTTATTTTTACTGTCATGCTGTGATAATCGTACCACGGAAAGCAACATAGAACCACTTCCGGTGATGATGATATTGAAGGCAACACCAAAAGTGGACCTCTTGCATCCACATCGTGCAGCTACCGAATCAGCTATTGATGATGCAGACAAGGCATTGCTGCAAGCACTGGAAGACACAAAAACTGATGAAGACACCAACTTTGCTTTATCTATTACTCTTTCTCTCCGCGAACTTAGCCCAAAAGAGAAACTGGATGCTAAGATCGGAATATGAAATATATTTAAGCAGACCATGCCTAAGCGGCATCATCAGACAACTTCGGGGTGTTCAAACGATACGGTCAACTTCTATTACTCAAATTTTGCTGATGATTCTGAATTAGTAAATTTGTAAAAGTAAAATAGAAAATAAACTTAAAAAACGAAAAATTCTCTCTTCGACAGATATCGCACGTCGTAAAATTGTATCCCGTTTTGCTATGGCTGGTCCAATTAATTGAACAAGTTTATTAAAACTGGTAATGCTCATTCTATAAAAAGAAAAAACTATCGGCCGATCAAAAGTCTGTAGTGTGCGGTGTCTTGATGCACATTTTGTGGAAATTCCGTGACCTCTGGATGACAGGGATATGAAGTGCTTGGCGCGAGTTTTCACTTTCATCTTCACTTGGATCTTCACTTTTCTGTCGAGTGTTATGCCTAGGTATTTGCAGGTTAGTGAGACTGAGAGGGGAGTTGATTGGACTGTGATTGTCAGAGAAGGGGTGTGAACTTGGAGGAAAGGGATGAAGAATTGCGATTTTGAGGAGTTGCTTCAAATGAGCCATTTTCGGTCCCAGCTCTCTGTTTCATCGATAAGCACTTGTAGCTTTCGGACCGAAGAGGCGTGCGAAATCAGTGTTGTGTCATCGGCGTAGAGTATATTTATTCACATCAAAGGCGTCTGGAGTGTTGTCGTAAATATCGTGACAGAAGATGTTGTACAGAGAAGGAGAGATGGGAGGCCTTGTTGGATGGTGAAACTGCGGGAGTGATGGTTTTTCAGCTTCACAAAACAAGAGCGATCTGAAAGGAATTGCCTTATCAAGTTTTGGAGGTAATATGGAACATTTAACTTATCCAGTTTAAATAGTTGACTGAGTCGAAAGCCTTTCGGATCCAGAAATACAGCCGCGGATTTACGTTTTTGATAGCGTGCCGCTTGAAAGTTGGAAAGCAATACCGTAAGTGGCTGGGATGTAGATTTGCCGGGTTGGAATCCCAATTGGTAGGGTGGGATGTTCTTTGAGACGACAGCCAGAAGCTTGTTCTTGAGATGTATCTCGAAAAGTTTTCCTATCACTGGCACCAGTGAGATGGGGCGGTAGTATGCTGGGTCGGAAAGTGAGGAACCCTTCTTGGGGACGCAGATTATGATAGAGGTCCTCCAGTCTCGTGGAAAATGTTGAGTCATAAGGCAAAAGTTAATTATTTCCCTGATGTAGGAGTGAATATCAAGGTCCAAGCTTCTCAACAACTGCCTCGACATGTTATTATAACCAGGAGCCATGTTCTTCCCTTGGCCTAGAAGAGTGAAATACTCGTCCTCCAGCATAACAGCATCCTCAGGTGTTTCAGAGGGATTTATAAAAGCAAGTTGATACCAGTTGTCTATTTTGAAAATATTCCTTCCAGGTAGTCAGCATGGGTATTAACTATCAGTGGGATCAGTGAGCTCTTTTGTTTCAGAAAACTTTTGGTATCTAGACAGTTTACGAACTTCCTGCTAATAATTTTTCCCTTACATGAATTGATTTTGTCGCAGGCTTCCATATATTTCAGTTATTATGAAAGATAGAAAGTTGCGGTTTTCGCGAACCTGAGCTACTTTTTTGTGAAACTTACAATGCCGCAAACCAAATTTTCATAGCCCTCTTCGTTTTTGATATACGGGTTTCAAAATTTACGGTTTTCAGACACCCCCTGTATCTCGGCTATCAGGAAACTTATTACAAAAGTAAAAACGGGTTCTAATAGATTTTTCACGTAGAATTTTTCTAGTCATCACGGTTTTTGAGTTATAAACACAACTCAGATTTTTTTTAATGGAACCACTTATACAGGGTGATTCACATAAGAACCGACACAGAGCAAGGACATGTGTGGACAATAAATTAAGATGATTTAAAGCAACCTCTATACTAAGTTGTACCCCTGAGGAGTTATAGGTCTTCAAAGTTTAGTTTTTAAAAAACTTTGTCGTTTTCATAAAAAACTCAAATAACTAAAGACACGTATTTCGTAAATGTTACTTAAAATTAGTGATGGAACGGATAGTGATTTTGCGAAAAGCCGGATATTCGGCATTCCCTTCGGCCGGGTATTCGACGTGTCTATCCAGCCATTATGGTTATAATTTCTGGTACATTTCTCAAGTGACCCTACATTGCGATATTTGAATAAAAATGAAATTACATTTCAAACATTTATTTCTCAAGAACTAAAAATGATTTTGCAAAACGGTTTTTTGCATTAAAAAGAGGATACTTTAATTAATAATTGGTGATATTTCCACAAGGATCCTTCAAGAAATTAATTTTATAGCGAATTTTGACAGTTATCGATGAAAATTGCAACATCGAAAATTTTATCAAAACTTCAAATATTGTTTTCTCAAAAACTAAAAGTTATTTTTCAAAACGGGTTGGTTCATTGGAAAGAGGACACTTTTATTAACACTTTGGGAAATTTTCATACTCATATTCCAAGAAATGGATTTTATACGAATTTTTAAAACTTAATCGGCGAAAATTGCAAAATTCGAAAAAATTGTCGATCATTTCAAAAATTTATTTCTTAAGAACTAAAAGTGATTTTTCAAAACGGCTTTTTGCATTAAAAAGAGGATACTTTAATTAATAATTGGTGATATTTCCACAAGGATCCTTCAAGAAATTAATTTTATAGCGAATTTTGAAAATTATCGATGAAAATTGCAAGATCGAAAATTTTATTAAAACTTCAAATATTGTTTTCTCAAAAACTAAAAGTTATTTTTCAAAACGTGTTGGTTCATTGGAAAGAGGACACTCTTATTAACACTTTGGGCTATTTTCATACTCATATTCCAAGAAGTGGATTTTATACGAATTTTTAAAACTTAATCGGCGAAAATTGAAAAATTTATTTTGGCAAGTACTACGTGTTAAAGTTTCCCGATTAAAAACTGAACCATCCTGTATATAGGCTACAAGGAATGAAAATTAGGTACATAAAAATGATGGTATAGAAGTACATTAACAAAAAGAATAAATAGCGAGAGGAGGAATTGGTGAGGATAATGAAGCGGTTAAAGATAGGAAAGGCAGCCCACAGAATGTGCATCTGCAATGTTGTAATTTGTAAAATTCATAATCACATATTATTGGCAAAAAATTGTTCGAAAGGAAAAATGTGGATTGATCCAAGGTACAGTACAGGAAAGTTGTACCTTGAACCAACGTTGTGTGTACTTTGGGTCAATTACTAACTACACTTAATTTTATTTATCTACATTATTATTAACAATAATAAATAGATAATAAAATATGATAAGTACCTGTCGTTATCATAAGGAAGGAAATGAACTTTGAAAGTACTTACATAGATACCTTTTTAATTACATTGTATTGACTGAAGTAAACTGAAAAATAAATTGTTTTTTTCTGACAATCCAATGATAGTATCTAATAAAAAGTTTGTGTTGAAGGGAAAGTTTCTTTTAACTAAAATACTTCAAGCCATTCCGGAGATACTTGGCCTGAGAGTTTATTTAAGTGAAACATCCTGTATACAGGATGTTTTAACACATTTTTCTAAATATCTTAAACACTATTTATGGTAAAGCGTTGAAATTTGGTACAGTGTAAACTAATGTAATGGAACACCTGTATAAGTAGAAATAATTTTAACAGAGAATTTGTGTACAAGAACATCTTCTACTGCCAATGATAAATTTCTTTTATTAAACGGCTGTCGGTTGTTGCCTAGTTAACTAAATACACAATTAAACTGAATTAAGAATTTTTTTATTATAGGTAATCATTACGAAAGTCAAAGAGCGATAAAGTACGAGGATGCGCTGGACCACAGGAGCGATTTTAAGATTTTGGGAGAGTCTTATATCAGAGTAGGGTACTCAGCAGATGAAATACAAAGGATGAGGAACGTCGTGCTCAGGTGGAAGAGGAGAGATACAATAATAAGTATAATGTCATAATAATGGAGGAAATCATAGGGTATTTCATGAATTTGCGCGATTTAGGTGCAGGATTTAGGATCATATGCTGAGTTGTGACGATTTGAGGCAAGTTGAAGTAATTTTCTGGATTACAAACGATTAAACTTACTGATTGAGGAGCGTAATATTATATATTGTAGTTATTGTTTTAATTGTATACTGCAAGTGATAATAAAGGATATTAAATAATATTTTAATAACAAAAATTAGACACAGAACGAACATTTATTTTTTTTAATCAACATTACAATAAATATGTTACCTCAATATTTCTACTTTTATTTTTTACAAAGATCCACAGCAAAACTCTCGCCCAAAGAGCTCCTTACCCCCCCAAAAAGACTTGTTAAAATAAAAAATCAAAATTTAAAATAAAACTCTCCTAAAATAGACGTTTACTCCACAGCCAGTATCCTTACACGCTAATTTCTATGGAGGGTATGAAGTTCTCGGCGTAATACTGTCCTTTAAAAATATTCTGAATTTTTTGTGCTTCCTTCATTAGAATTATTTCATTAGATTAGTTTATTTAGTGATTTCTTTTTGTTCAACTAATTGCTATATTGCATACAAGTTCATCTAATAAGTGATTTATTTCTGAGATCGTTATCGATTTGTCGTGTTAATTAAGTTAATTTATTAATTTTTAATATATTTTTCTGTAATCACAACTCAGGTACTCAAAACAATTAATCCAAAAAAAATAGAAATAAAGACGCATTAATGTAACGGAAAGACTTGAGTTACTTCACCTTTTCCTTTAGAACTCCCGCTTCGGAACAACAACCTTTGCCCTACTTTTACATATTCCGGGTGATTCATGAAAGCAAATATAACTGAAGCTTTTTCGTTCACCCGAATACATTTCGACGGAAATATAGCGAAAATAACCGCCGTTTGTCGAATATTGCCGATATGTACCGTTGCTTGGAAACCTTGAAAGATCGCTGTGCGATGATATAGCAGCGAAACGCTTGCTTGAAAATATTTGCAACCCATCGCAGGTTCACCACGGCTTAATAAAACCATCCCATTTCTCAAATCTGGTACTTCAACATCCAAACTAACAGCGGCGCTTTGCCCCGCTCGAACGCTCCTACACGGAAATCGATTTCGATGAATACTTTTAATATTAACCGGAACAAAATTTCCATTTTTTAATGGCCCCAATTGCATTGGAGTCCCCTCATTTAATGTACCTTTAACCAAAAGTCCCCCCAAAACTTGTCCAACATCAGACACTCGGAAATTCTCGTCAATTTGAAATTCTGGGGTTTGTTGCTCGAGCCGTTCTCGTTCGTTATTCGAGACCCCCGGTGGAAGAACATGCAAAAACTTCAACAACAAATCTAATCCTTCCCCCGTAACGCTTGAAACACAAAAAATAGGTACTATGTTTTGTGTTAATTGGTTCGCCCCCGCCGTGATCACATCATCCAAATTTTGGATCACGAGTGGGACTCGCCGACTTCCAGCTTGTTTTAAAATTGATTCTAACGTTTGCAACGTTTTTGTTGGTTCCACCAAATCGATCTTTGTTATTACTATAAAGAAGGGGACGTCTAAAGCCACAGCTATTGTTAGATGTTCGTGAGTCATTCCTACTGCTCCTGCTGCACTTGAAATCTATTAAAAAAAAAACATTAAAATAAATAATTAACAAAATTGTTTTAACTTAACACTTTGCTGACCAATTTTACACAGAAACTATGTTATGAAACGAAAAAGATAATTAATGGAGAAACGGTAATGTAATTTTTGACCACCCTGTATAAGATACTCTGACACAACAAATGATAATCTATTCGGCATCATCTGAAGAATAATCGTGCCAAGGTAGAGCTTTCTTGAATGAATATTGGCTGAGAAATCGAGTTTTAAAGTGAAATTTGCCAAAAAATATTTAAAACCAAAATAACTCGAAAACGAAAAATGCTAGGTACCAGTAACTTTTATCAAAGTCAACATATTTTTTTGTATATAATTAAAAGGTGCAATAAAAACTATAGCATTCCATTTAAAATAACTAAGTTGAGGTCTACTTCCGGTGGACCGAAAATAGCCACCATCTTGAAAATACTTTATATCGAAATGGAAACAATAAACGGGTGTTGATGACTTTTTGGCGGACACTGTATAAGTCCTTTTAGAAGTACGAGAAGAACTGTCAGGTGGTGTGCTGCATTCATTTGAATCTACAGAAATCCATTTCCTAGCTACTTCTAGTAGAAATTTTTTGTATGTTGCTATTTTTTTTATACCACTTATCAATTGTATAATTTTTATTCTGCTTTTCAGTTGATATCATAAACAACCTTTCATCTTTCCATGCGAGAAGAAGAAAAGGACCTTTCCGTACAAAAGTCATTTACCCTCTCTGAAGATTCTTGGACTTTTCTATTAGTATCTTTGGCAAGCCACGACTCTCTCGTATGTACCACATACAAGTATTTTCTTTTCTAATAATATACCAGCTGTAGAAACGTTAATGTAAATATTAAAGAAAATTTTAAAAAATCATGTCAACTAATAATTTGAATTTTTCTACAAAACTATCAAAAATTATATGTCCTTCAAAATATAATTAAAAAAATTGTTTTAACTTAACACTTTCCTGACCGGCAATTTTACACAGAAACTATGTCATGAAACGAAAAGCTAACAAAAAAGATAATTAATGGAGAAACGATAATGTAATTTTTGACCATCCTGTATAAGATACTCTGACACAACAAAAGACAATCTATTTGGCCTCATCTGAAGAATAATCGTGCCAAGTTAGAGCTTTCTTGAATGAATATTGGCTGAGAAATCGGGTTTTAAAGAGCATGGTGAAATTTGCCAAAAAATATTTAAAACTAACTTAAATATTTAACTTTTATCAAAGTCAACATATTTTTTCGTATATAGTTAAAAGGTGCCATAAAAACTATAGTATTCCATTTAAAATAACTAAGTTGTGGTCTACTTCCGGTGTACCGCAAATGGCCGCCATCTTGAAAATACTTTATATCGAAAGATCCCATACAAACTAACTTTGGTGGTGTGCTGCATTCATTTGAATCTATAGAAATCCACTTCCTAACTACTTCTAGCAGAAATTTTTTGTATGTTGCTATTTTTTTATACCACTTTATACTTTTTTGATAGTTACTGGTGTTCGCCAAATTTTCATGTGTTTATTGTATTGTATTATGCACGAAGGTTTCACTTTATCAATTGTATAACTTTTATTCTGCTTTTCAGTAGATATCATAGACAACCTTTTATCTTTCCATGTGAGAAGAAGAAACCCCTCTCTGAAGATTCTTGGACTTTTGTATTAGTATCTTTGGCAAGCCACGGCTCTCTCGTATGGTACCACATACAAATATTTTCTTTTCTAATAAGCTGTAGAAACGTTGTTGTAGTAATTATCTTAATATACATGATGTCAATAACCAAAACACGGCTGCAAGACTTGATAATATAGTTTCTTGTAGCTTTTATCCTCCACCCGAATAAATCTGAAAATTGCAAATGTACCCAGACTTACTTTCACAAACCATTCTCAGTAAAATACCGTATTTCGTAATCTTTGCCGGATTATATATGTTTTGAACCTGAGACGTCCTCTCCATCGGTACATACATAGATTGAATTTTTGGAATGAGGTAATCCAAGAGAGGATTTTACAAAGGTGCATTTTGAACAGAGTGTCCCAAATTCGTTGTCCGCATAGGCTATATCATTTGGGGAGTAACGGGAAACCACAGATGATATCAGGAACATACCTCTGGGAGATGTCCTAGCCTTTGGCAAATCCCTGGTTGATGTGACCAGAGTATGTGATGGGAGGATTCACAATGGGGCCTAAGTGTGGTGTGCGGTAACGTAAGCACTCCATACATTCATACGTAATAATACATTACATAAGTAATTTTTTTGTTATAAAGCGGACACGACTAAATACGATATGCCAAATGTTTGCAATATTCTATCTGACTATCTGTCAGTCAGTGACTTTGCCTAGGTATATTAGGTCTTTGAAATATTTTGATCCAGCTCTTTTTTTAAACTTCATCCAGTCACTCCCTTTTGATGATGTATATCACCTACATGTCATTGACAACAAGGGGCATGTGTGAGAGTAACTTCTGCCAAAGATCCCTGTCTCTGGCTTAGTGATAATGTTAGACTTAAGAGATAAGACTGTCAGAATTAAAAAAAAAAACAAAGTCCTGACTGGACTCTTTACCGCTATTAAGTGTGAAAAACGTGCTTAAATTACTCATGGTATACAGAATTCTGTTAACCAGTGGAAAGTGTTGCGAAAAAACAATTTATTACAATGTAAGGTTCATTCTGTTCTACAACACTTAATGTGGTATGGAAAAAGTCCATCGTGATACCAGTACCGAAGGTACCAAGTCCAAATGAATACTCATGCCTATGACCCATAACCATTTTGTGTTCCTTATCAACAGTATTGAAAAAAATAGTTAACAGACAACTGACGGAGTTTTTGAAGGCTAAGCGCATTGTACCAGTGAATCAGTCTGGTTTCAGGGAAGGAGATAGCTGTGAAACTGCTCTATATAGTGGGTGATATACTTGACTCCAATAGATCGACTCTTCTGGGGTTGTTGGATTTCTAATATCAATTCTTGACCATATCGGACTTGATTCTGTTTCATTAGCTTTTTTCAAAAATTACCTTAAAGGGAGGATTCAATCAGTCACTATTGATCAGGTGAAGTCGAGTGTTTTGGAGATAAGGTCTGGGTTCCCACACTATTTAAAATTGACACGATAAATTTCAATAGCTTCGTTAATTTCTGTAGCGTCTACTATTATGCTGATGATACACAGATTTATCTGTCCTTCTCTGAAGGCCGCTTTGATGAAAGCTTCAATAAGCTTAAACGTGACTTGCTTAAACAGAATATTGCTAAACATCATTCTGTTTGATATTCTGTTCATAGGAAATACTTCTTTTCCATTGAGTAAGTCTGTCAAAAATTTCGGACTGGTCATGGATGAGGCGTTAAGCTTTTAACCAGTTGATTGGTCGTGTTATGGCTCATTAAAATTGATTTACTCTAATCGTTATAGTCTTGGCTGGCACAAAAAAAAAGCTTTTATGCGACTCTTTGGTATTGTTACACTGTAATTACTGTGGTAGCATATACGAGTCTTTTTTGGATTCCTGGAATCAGGGAAAAATTTAAAAACTCGTGCATCCGTTTAATTTTCGCCCTGAGGAAATAACGTCGTTAATACACTTCTGTATAGTACACTTCTGTAGGCATAGATTTTCTTCTCACAAAGCGGCGTACGTAAATTCGCAGTGGTATAGGAGATACAGGAAAGCTTAGGCCCGACGTATTGGAAGTTCTTGAACTCAGTTGTTTCATAAATTGGCGTAAATTGGCTTTGTTCAACAATAGAAGAGGCGCAAAGACTTGAATTGTTTACTGGGTATTATAAACTGCCAGACATAAATCGAAAACGAGAATTTATTGTGACAAATACGCAAGTTACTGACACAAAGCAGAAAACGACGAAATATTTGGATTCCCGTAGAAAAAAGACTGTTGAATATTATTTCTGATAAACCAAACTCGTGTTCCTGTCTGCAAGAAGTTTTTTTGAATACTTTGGATATTTCAGAACGGACAGTGAGAACAGCCTTAGAAAAAGTAGACGAGGTTGGAATTGTTGAAACTGATAAAAGAGGTGGACGAAAAATCTGAAAGCGTTATGCAAGGGATCAACTGATTCGTTCTGATGTTTTGCGACACATTAACATGTTTCCTAGAATGGAGGCCCACTACTGTAGAAGCAACTCTCTATTTCAAAAATGTACTATCTGTACTTGCAGTCTGTGCCTGAAGGTAATCAGCAGCAATCAAGGAAGCAAGCTTTTCTACTTATCAAAGGGTCTTTAAAACTCTATCATTTCATACTTACAAGAAAGATCAATGTTCACTTTATTTGACGTACAAAACCGGTGAAACTAGTGTGAAAACTAAATTAGAAGAAAAATTTCAAAGGCACAATTTGGAAAAAACTACTGTCAGAGAGTTGAAAAACTAGTGTAAAGCGAGAGCTACTGAAGATAACACTTTACTTACCAATTTCAAAGGAAAGTGCATTGTTTCACTTCATACTTTTTACAATACTTTAAGCAAAACATGTTCATGTTATTGTTGGCACGAAAGCAGTAAGTAAGAGTGGTTCATCAGAAATTGCAACATGCGTGTACTGCGCATTACAAGCTTATGACCCCTCGCAAGGGTGAAACACGCCTCATTATTTTTCTGACGGATGCAGTGATTAAAACAAGAACACTATAATTGCTGCTATGCTTAGATTTTTCGAATCCTTCCATGGGCAATACGAAGGAGATTCTGCCCACAGCCCTCACAACTTATTCCCGTATTTAAACTAGCACGCAGGCAGAATCCTTACAACGCAATTGATAATACTTAAGTCTGAATTCTCACATTTTTATTTTGGCCAAGACTCCAGAAACGTCTAATGACCGGTCTCGCTGAGACACCCTGTATAATAACAAATATTATTAATACTTGTCTATTAGAAGGTGTTTTCTCTTCAATATGGAAAAGGTCCAGTACCGAAGGTACCAAGTCCAAACGAATACTCATGCCTAAGACCCATAAGCACTTTGTGTTCTTTATCAAAAGTATTGAGAAAAATTGTTAACAGACAACTGACGGAGTTTCTGATGGAAGGCTGAGCGCATTATACCAGTGAAACTGCTCTGAACAATATAGTGGATGGTATTGTTACTGCAACTGACTCATCCTTATTAGCTTTTTCAAAAATTACCTTAAAGGCAGGATTCAATCGGTCAGTATTGATCAGGACTCTGTGGTCTCGCAGGTATGGATTCTTGGCCCAGATCATGATCACCCAGATCATTCTGTTTGTTATTTTGTTCCATTGAGTAAGTCAAAAAAGCTTTTATGCGACTCTCTGGTATTGTCACACTTTAATTACAGCGCAGATACATCTACAAGGCCTGCTTTTTTCGTCATCACTAAATATATCTGCATACTTGTACATAATGTTAATGTTTGCTTCACGGGTAGGCTAACACTTCCTTCCCACCAGACAGAATTTTTCAACCGTTGTTTTATTATCAGATATACGCCATATACAATAATTTACGTGATTTTTGATCAGTTTTCATTATTTCCTTGCAATTGGTATTGGTATCATTTTTTTCTTTACAGTCTTTCTTTCTGTTAGATTGAGTGAAAGATCAGGGTTGACCTGAACTCCGCCTATATGGATACTGACTAAACTCGCTTTGCATGGCATTGATGCCCGCTATACGGTAAGACTTTGGCGGCAAAGTGCCCGCGCAAGATGTATTAATAACTAAATTAAATTTCTTTTATAATATTTTGTCTTATTTTTTATATAGTAATATTTTTATTATTATTATTTTTTAAAATCATTCTTGTATCGATGCTTCATTGCTTCACAAGATTGTAATTATAAAATTACCCAAATGCAGTGATTATTATTATTATTATATCGCCCTGGGTGTAATAAATTGAAATAGATAATGCAAGTGTAATGACGAGTTAACTCGTCAGTGGTCAGCAAAGTGTTAATTGCCTTGAAAAAAAATTCAATTATAATAAAATTAATTTACCACTAGCATAGCATGATGTGGAGAATATCCCGATAATCCCTGAATTGTCGTATGAATATATTTTCTATGTCCTGCCAAGTCTAAGAATGTAACTAGTTTTGTTGAAATGTCGCAAATTTCTTCTGCTGTCATTAGTTCGCTATAACTATAATTTACTGGTTCACCCTAAAACAAATAATTTTTATTAACCAATTAATTTAGTAATAAAAGGACGAACCTGTGAATTAAATCCCAAGATTTCATGAGAAATTGATGAAGTTCGTCCACTTTGTATTTCATGTAGATGCCTGAACATGTTTAATCTCGCCCTACCACGTCCATTGTCTAAATTTCCTTGCGTTAAGACACCCAATAACGTAGATTTGCCGGCATCGGCATTGCCCAAAACGGCTACTCGTATTTCAATGTTATTCTGGTCATCAGGGACTTTACGGACCAAAACCTCTGTCGCAATCCTCCCGTTATCCAACGTCCGTTCACGCAAAATCGTCGTCGTTGCACCCAGTTTATAAGCCATCTCTTTTAAGGTACTCAAACTGTCCAACATATCTCTATCTGATAATCCTGTTAACACTCCATTATCTTCTACACCAATCTCGTAAATCGCTTCGCCTTGGCCCTCTCGTAAACGCCATTTCATCTATATATAAATAAATAATTTTGAAATAATTTTTATAAGCTTTTGTTGAATCGCGATTGGACGACTTTAAACAGTTATTTATACACAGGGTTGAAAAAAAAAACATATTTTTTAATTTGTTTTTAATTTAACATGTTATTTTTTTGTTTTAAACGTTTTTTTTTGTTTTTAAACAAATAAAACTTAAAAAAAACATTGTTTAAATCATATTTTTTCAGACATAATAACATAATATTAATTGAAAATGTTTTATCTATTATTCTACCAAATAATAGATACCTTATTTAAAGTCCGACTCTGAATCCCCGAAATAAGAAAACCAATTGCAATGAGGAACTATTGGCCTGGAAGAACCACGGACTATTTATAAATTCGCATTGTTATTTTGTGCCTGTGGTGTTCTTTTTTTGAAAAATGTCGTCTACGGGATGTTGTTAAAGATAATAACAAAAAATCAAATAATACAGTAACTTTGAATTTTAAATTTTTATTTTTTCGGTATTACGGTGTTGTTTTTAATTCTCAAGGTTAGGTTAGGTTAAACCTAACCTTTTAATTAAGATTTGATTTGACAAAAATTACTGAATAAATCTTTTTTCTTCAGAGCCTATGTCAGCTTCAACAATCTCTGTTACTAATAGCACTTTATGTATAAATGACAGTGATGTTATGATGACCCCAAAACCGTGTACTTCTAAAAGCAGCATTTCAAGCTTTGTTATTTGAACCAGCCAATCAGAAAAGAATAAGTTGGATCTACAAATAGCCCGATATTTATATGCAACAAACACATCATTTCGTGCAGTTCAACATCTCAAATTTAAAAAGATGATAAACGTCCTGGATATAAGCCACCAAATAAGAATTCTGTTTCTACCGACTTGCTTGATAAGGTTCATAATTCAGTACAAAGAACAATTAAAGAAAATTTATGCAACAAGAAGGTTTGTGTAGCGCTTAACGGCTGGAGCAACGTTCATAATGACCCTATAATAGGCGTATGTGTCACAGATATAGAAAGTGAACGGGTGCATCTGATAGAGTCCATTGATACGAGTGGGAATGGTCATACTTCTGAGTATATATTACAGCTACTTAAAAATTCAATTAAGAAATGTGAAGAATATAATTGTAAGGTAACTGGTATAGTCACAGACAACGCTACAAATGTGACCAAAATGAGAAGGGATCTGTTTGAGGAATTCGACAGGAAAGATATAATAACTTATGGTTGTTCAGCCCATGTATTGAACTTACTTGCCCATGATATAGAAGTGCCAGGAATAAAGAGTAATATCAAACAAATTTGTAAATATTTTAGAAATGTACATTTTGCTAGCGCAAGATAATAAGCTGGTGGTTATACTCTTGCATTGCCTCAGGACGTTCCTTGGAATTCTTCATCGGACTAATTGGAAAGATACTTGAAAAACTGGTCAATATTATTCGAATTTTGCTCAAATAACAGAATAAGTATTGATAAAGATATAATAAAGCTTGTAAACGACACCAATTTAAAGACAAATGCCCAAGACTATTTAAAAAAATTAAAGTATATCGCAGTTGCTTTGGACGAAGTCCAAACAAACACTTGCACCACAGGAGAGGCTACAGAGATATGGCTAGAACTTCTGGAAGCATTCGAGATTGAACAAGCAAATGGAGAATTTTCGGTAAGTGATAGGAATAAAGTCAAGGAGCGTATGGAAATGGCTTTGACCCCAGCTCATTTTTTTGGCAAATTTGCTTTAGAGGAAATAAACTTAGTCAAGAGCAAATAGAAACTGGCATGGAATATGTAGGTACCTATCATCCAGAAGCATTGCCAATTATTATTAATTACCAGGCAAAGTGTGTACCCTTTAAAGCATATACAGTCAGTCCCAAAAGTCATCGTACACAAATGGTTTTCGCATGATTTCCAAAACGTGATCGTAAATAACGGAATTTTTTTATTACCATACATGTAATTATTTATTTTTAACAGATTTATAAACAGAAAACACTGCATTTTAACAAAATAACTTAATAATTCTTCAAAATCGTTCCATTGCAATCTCACAAAAGTAATCGTACATCTGAAAACCGACAGGGGTTTCCCCGTCTCTTTGTCAATTACGTGGAATCGTTGCTCTCCGTTTGTCAAAAAAGTGTCATGGCTCCCCAGAGAACGGAAACAAGTGTAGAAGTGAGAAAAATTGTTCTAAAATTACATAATGAAGGTCGATCTATACGTAAAATCGCTAAAACACTTAATAAAAGTGCTTCTACAATTCAGTATATAATTAAAAGGTTTGTGGATACCGGAAATATTGAAAATACTCCGCGCACTGGCCGTCCAAAATTGTTGACTCTCCGAGAAGAACGAAGCATTAGGCAAGAAGTCAACGCAAATCCTCGGATAAGTGCCCCAAAAATAGCGGCAAACGTCCAAAACAAATTTAATAAAACCGTAAGTGCAGAAACTGTGCGAAGGGTTTTGCGTGGTGCCGGTTACATTAGCGATGTTAACAAAAAGAAACGAATCGAATTTGCAAAAATGCATAAAGATAAAGATATGGACTTTTGGAAAAGGGTCATCTTTACAGATGAATCAAAATATAACATTTTTGGATGCGATGGTAGGGGTAAAATTTGGAGGAAGGCCGGTACAGCCCTAGATTTAAAAAATCTCCTACCAACAGTGAAACATGGCGGTGGATCCGTTATGGTATGGGGATCCATGGCTGCTTCAGGAGTCGGTAGTTCAGTCTTTATTGAAAATATAATGAATAAGTGGCAATATTTAAATATTTTAAAGGCTAATTTAAAGCAAAATGCTATACAATTGTGTCTTGGAAGTAATTGGATTTTCCAACAAGACCAAGACCCAAAGCATACAGCGCATGTAGTTCGCGAATGGCTTTTATATAATGTGCCCAAGCAGCTACATTCTCCTCCACAATCACCGGATATTAACCCCATAGAGCACGTGTGGGATTACTTAGAAAAATCTATTAGAATGCACAACATTAGTAGCAAGGAATCCCTAAAAGCTGCATTACAAGTAGAGTGGGATAAAATTCCGGCATCATACACTGAAAAACTTGTTCAATCTATGCCGAGAAGACTAAAAGCTGTACTTAAAGCGAACGGAGGACCAACCAAGTACTAGTACCAGCTTGGCTGCGTCTTTAATTACAACTTTTGGATCTGTACGATCACTTTTGTGACATTCCAATGGAAGAATTTTGAAGAACTATTAAGTTATTTTGTTAAATTGCAGTGTTTTCTGTTTATAAATCTGTTAAAAATAAATAATTATGTGTATGGCAATAAAAAAATACTTTTTTTACGACCTCATTTTGGATATTATGCAAAAACCGTTGGTGTACGATGACTTTTGGGACTGACTGTATGTTTTCTAAACATCTAATTGGGAATGTAAAAGCATTGGCATGGTGGTGTTCTATGAAAAATATAAATATATTTTGGAACTTGCTCAACAGCTTCATACAGCTATTGCATTGTCAGCCAACATAGAAAGACTTTTCTCATCATACGGTTTAGTCCATTCAAAACTAGGTAATCGGCTAGGCAATGTCAAAGCTGCTAAGTTGGTTTCAATTTTTAAAGAGCTTAATTCATATCAGATATCAGATTGATGACTTACATGACTATGAGACTGAACCAGTGTGAGAAATTTGTTAGTGCTTGTATGCAAAATGTTTTAAGTTTTCCAATTTTTGTTGTGTTCCTATTATTAATAAATAAATAATATGTATGTTAAAAAGTTTGTATAATGTATTTGAAAATTTTTCCTATTTTTATTCATTGTCGTGTTAATAAAGAAAATAAAAAAACAAACGCTTGTTTAATTTAAGTGTTTTAAACATGTTTTAAACTGTTTTAAACCTAAGCAAATGTTTAAAACATGTTTAAAACAGTTGATTAAAAGAAAATGTTTAAAACGAAAATTAATTATTAATTATATTGTGATATCCGGATCCTTTCGCGTGGAGCATTTGAATGCGAGATCGGTAATGGCCCACTTTAGTGAACTTAGCTATTATTTATTGAGGTCAGATTGTGATGTGCTAGGTGTTTCTGAGACTTGGTTGAATGTTAATATATGTGATTTTTTTATGTTAAGATGTTAAGAATAACAAACAGAACACGATGAATACACGGAACTCGAATTTGGCAATGGCAAAAAGAAAGATGTAAATAAAGGAGATGTTAAAAGACAACATATATCATATTGAAGCGCCTCGGCTTTATTAGATATTCGAGGTCGGCCTAAAACAAACTGCATCGTAATTTGGTATCATCGGATATATGATAGATGATGTAGCGGCATTGATGATTAACGATTAACAAGTCATATTGAGACAGAGATAAAATCTTGCAAGTAAAATCGCAAATCTGGAGTACTTACTAGATTTAGGAGAAGTACAAAATCATAGGTAATTTTGAAACAGACTCCTTAGTGAAGTTAGAAGATTACGTATACATTCAATAAAGTTTAAAGTGATGATACGTGGCTGTATAATTCATTGTCGCTGGTCGTGGAACTAAACCCGCCAAACTAGTTATAGAAGTACCAGGAATAAAGAGTAATATCAAAAAAATTTGAAAATATTTCAGAAATGTACATTTTGCTAGCGCAAAATTCCGAGAAACTGGTGGTTTTGCTCTTGTATTGCCTCGTTGGAATACTTTATCGGACTGCTTGGAAAGTTACATGAAAAACTGGTCAATATTATTCGACGTTTGCTCAAACAACAGAATAAGTATTGATAAAGATATAATAAAGCTACAGTAAACGACACCAATTTAAAAACAAATGCTCAAGACTATATAAAAAAATTAAAGTACAGGTAAACGTCGTTTTACGCCGGGGTTCCGTTCCGAGAAAACACAAATATAATGGACGATATAAGGTTAGGTTCCATGTCAAAATTCTAAGAACAATCTAACATGTTTATTTAATACATATCCTATTTACATAATATATTTAAAATAAATAATAATCTCTTGATATAAATTAATGTATTTTTTGAAATAAATACTAACTCACTAGTTCGTCGGTACTAAATTAAACTCTTTTTGAAAAAAGCATCCAATTTCACTTGCTTTGATTGTTGCTTTCTTGTAGAATCATAGCATAATTTGCGCTTTGATTGTAATACCCATCTATCTCACATCTCACCTGTTAACCTTTCTATAGAGGATAGGATACGAGTTAGATCGTCCGTTTTTAGGATTTTCCTATCATTTTCTTTCTCATCCTCCTCTTCTTCTTCGGGATTTTCTGATTGAGGGCTATCATAATATATGCCTCCACCAACTCTTCTAATTCTTGATTTGAAAGTGGTTGGTCATGCACGTCTAACAGTTCAGTCACATCTTCAGTTGTTACGTCTTCGAATCCACATTCGTGTGTAAGTCTGATAATGTCTTCGTTTATGTTAATATTATTTATCAGTCTACCCTTGGTGGCTTTAAATCCAGGAGCGCTACGTTCTTCTCGCGAAATAAATGTTCTCGATGGCAACTTCTTCCAATAGAGACATGTTTCATCAAAATTGAAGATGAGATTTGCAGGGTAGTTCTCTTGTTGCACAATTTCTTGAAACTTTTGAGGGTAAGCTGCTGCTGCTACTACATCAGCGCCCGCTGCTTCGCCGCGAAAGTTTCGCTTGTCAAGAAAGTTTCGCCAGTGTTTTCTTCCGCCTTCAAATCAGAAAAAATCAATAGGCACCAACCATTGTGAATCGGCGTAAATCGAACCGGAGCAAACCGACGTTTACCTGTATATCGCAGTTGCTTTGGACAAAGTCTAAAGAAACACTTGCACTATAGGAAAAGCTACAGAGATATGGCTAGAACTTTTGGAACCATTCGAACCTGAACAAGCAAATGGAGAATTTTAAGTAAGTGATACGAATTAAGTCAAGGAGCGTATGGAAATGGCTTTGACCCCAGCTCATTTTTTGGCAAATTTGCTTGATCATCGCTTTAGAGGAAATAAACTTAGTCAAGAGCAAATAGAAACTGGCATGGAATATGTGGATACCTATCATCCGGAAGCATTGCCAATTATTATTAATTACCAGGCAAAGTGTGTATCCTATGTTTTTTAACATCTAATTGGGAATGTAAAACCATTGGCATGGTGGCGTTCTATGAAAAATATAAATACGACAGCATTGAAACTTGCTTAACAGCTTCATATAGCCATTGCATTGTCAGCCAACATAGAAAGACTTTTCTCATCATACGGTTTAGTCCATTCAAAACTAGGTAATCGGCTAGGCAATGTCAAAGCTGCTAAGTTGGTTTCAATTTTTAAAGAGCTTAATTCATATCAGATATCAGATTGATGACTTACATGACTATGAGACTGAAACAGTGTGAGAAATTTGTTAGTGCTTGTATGCAAAATGTTTTAAGTTTTCCAATTTTTGTTGTGTTCCTATTATTAATAAATAAATAATATGTATGTTAAAAAGTTTGTATAATGTATTTGAGAATTTTTCCTATTTTTATTCATTGTAGTGTTAATAAAGAAAATGAAAAAACAAACGCTTGTTTAATTTAAGTGTTTTAAACAAAAACTGTTTTAAACCTAAGCAACTGTTTAAAACAGTTGATTAAAACAAAATGTTTAAAACAAAACAACCCTGTTTATACAGGACACCCCTACATAAATAATTGTAATAAACTAACTAGTTATTTATATCTTACCTGCGTAACTAAATGTTCAAATCTCTGCTTAGACGGATTAATAATTTTCAGCTTGTACTCGATGTTACCATGTTGGGGTTCTGGCGGAAGAGAATTTTCGACGAGATCGGTGTCATCATCGCTGTTGTCGTCGCAGGACGGATCAAACAGGCTCAAAAATGAATCCATAAGGCTATAAGACGAATGTAACGTTTATAAACTCATAGCAACACAAACTAAAGAAGGTTTTTAAAAGGAAAAGAAAAAAAAACCTTGAAACACTGAGAAGCGAGAAAGAGAATTTCAGGTTGTTATGAAATAGGAGTGAAAGTGAAGTGGAAAATGGGTGAAGCGAACGTCAACTCACTCGTTTTTATTTGTTTACTGACGAAAAAGTTGGCCACCGTACAAAAACATGGACTAAAAATATTGTATTCATCTTGAAATCGTTTTAGGCACACAAACAATAAGGTGATGGTTTTAAAACTGGATTCAGACTTAGCTTACACGCGGAATAAACACTAAATTAATTGCGATTATTTAAAAATTTTAAATTATAAACGAGATTTAATTAACTAATTATTGATTCATTTCATTTCGATTACACCAATTAAGCACATTTATCGATAATAATAAAAATTCAACAAAATTGAATCAATTGTGTGAGATATGTCTGAAAATATATACATACAGGATGTTTAGAAATTGGCGCATAATGTACACGTACTCTTAACTTAATCTTCAAAATATGTAAAAAAATTTTGTATAAAAATATAAATAAATTTCAACATATGGAAAAAATATGAAAAAAATTAAACATTGTTGAATAAAAATAAAAAGAATTAAATCGTAATTAAATCGCATTTAAAATTTGGCTCTAAAACTTAATCTAATTGTGTAACTTACCTTCACAAGACTATTTATATTTATGTACAGTAACACTCACCAAGCTCGATTTGATTTATCAACACAAAAATTCAAACGGGTTATCGTTTAATTAAAATGAATAGAAACAAAAAATTGCGAAATTATTTTCGCAACAATTATACTCACTTTGTTGTGTTTATTGATCCATTAAATGTAAATGAAGGAATAAATTTAATTAGTAACCGTTTCGCAAAAAGTTTTGAACCTTTTGTTGTAAGCTATGATAAACTCGCTGACGAAATTCTAAACGCGTTGACAAAAACTTCCAGGAGTTTACGTCATCAATTTTGTTAGATAAAAATAATCTATTTAATTTATTTAATCTTGTTAATCGCGTTATAAAAATAAAAACAAAAATATTTTGGTGGTTTTGGATGAGTTAATGGAATATTTTTAAGAACTTAAAATTAAATTATTATCTGATAAAAGAACTTCATCCTAACAAAAATTATTATATTTTATGTAAAAATTAAATTCTTACCTTGTTAAAAAATTTTAAAAAGTACTTCCCACAAAGACGTTTTTAATGTACTGACACATCCTTACGCATTTCATCATCATTTATAGCCCTTCCTCAATATTGCATCATTATACACAAACTAATTGATAATCTAGAATCTGATTATTAAAAAAAATATTTCCTGACTCAACTATAAAACATTTATGATTGATAATGATAAAGATAAAAAAAAGCAAAGTTGTATCTTTACATCATCCTGTATTCTTTCATCAATGTTTGTTAAAACAAAGTTAATTCGATAACACCCTCGATTATCTTCTTAACATTTTTTATTTTAATTATTAATCATCCCTCAAATTTCCTTCGTTTGGATACAGTGTGTTTGATTTTAGTTGTTACAAGAGATATCTCGATTATTATTGGAGATATGACAAAATTTTATTAAAGAGCTCTCTTTCACTTTTGCTCCCAGATGCATAAGTATGGAGAAAAACACAAAAATATGAAAATTTGCTGAATTCGTACTTTTATAATTTATTAATGATATCGATTGTCGAAGAGTGCAGAAATAAAAAAATTACACTTATAATCTTCGATATTCAATATACAATACTTCAAAATGGACGTCTTCAAAAAAAAAATCATGGTGTCCTGGGTTGACGGCAAATTGGGCAAACTTTTTTTGTTTGTTCGGCTATCTTCACGTGCTCTTTATCAATTTCATGGCAATAATCATAAATAGCTTGGCAATCGCAACTCCTAATTGATCTAAGACACCCAGCATTGAATAATATTGTGCCCAGATTTGCAGCAATTTTGACAAATAATATTATTTAAGCTTCCATTATTGTTCTGATGAAAAGCACCTAAACACCTCATTAAAAGGTCGTCTCTACTCAAATCTTCATATATTGGCTGGATGGCTGATGCAACTTCAGTGGACATGGCAGGCTTATGTTTATAATTATTTAAATTTTCTGCTGTGTTAGCCTTCTGCCACGAACACCATGACTCCTCACCTAAAATAGTTGCTCAAATACTTTTCTTCATATTTTCTACAGAATTTGTAGAGGTTCCAATTCACCGGCTTTTTTTATTAGTAATTTTCTTACTAGCTCTGTAACATCGTGAATTTGAGAAACTATGGAAGTGTAAAATGATTTGAAAACTGGAGACGGCAAATCCATAAATGCGCAAAACTTTTCTGCTCCAGCTAAACCAAGCCCAAGTAAACGCATTGCGAAAATAAATTACCTCGTATGCATTTCGTACTAAGGGACATGATTTAATTTCCTTAGGCACACACGTTTGACACTTTGCTACAATTTTATTATTCTTTTTTCGCAAAATTGTGTATCACCTCCACATTCATTACATTTTACATGTTGAGGCTGTCAAAGCTGTTTACGAGCTTCGTCCATTGATTGGCTTAATTAACTGGAAGAAAGCCATCGAGCTGCTAATCGTGAAAGCGCAATTTTTAGTACAGGTCGGTCACATAATGCTTAGACAACCAAAACGACCGGAACATTAGAGGCAGCGTTCTGGAATTGCCATTCCAGAACTTGGCTTGAAATTGCGCAAGGAAAAATGGATAAAATTCGCTCGACAGCACCAGCTAGACGTTATTCTCATTAACAGAACCCACCTACACTTGTTCAACTGTTTTTGTGTATAACAAACACCCATTTTTATAAAGACCTCACTTGAGTATCAGAAATTCAACTCCAAATTTACGGTTTACCACCGAACCTTGACACTAATTTCAGTCTACAATAGACTAGAAGAACACGAACTGGACAACGATCTTCGCCCAGAAGGGATAACCTTTTTGGTAGAATATCTGAACCATAACCCTTCTACGTGCTCCAGATTGTCAAATGCTGCCAGCAGAACGCTCTACAATTTCGCCGACACGTTCAATCTGGGAAGTACCCAGAGGTAACATCGGACCACAATCCAGTGCTGCAACTTTACGAAGGATTACAAGCTCACTATATTAAACAGCTTCAATACGATCTGTTGTTACCCAGGAAATCAGAGAAAATCTTCTTGATTAGGGCGCTAAAGCATCTTTCCAGGAACTTATAAACATGATGAACTGTTGAAATCAAGACATCAGCTTGCTTTCTGTTCTAGCTAAGATAACCGAAATGATTCTACCAGATTATACCAGACGGCCAAGTCGGGTTCCGACTCCAACACGGCACTGTTGTGCAACTCCTTCATCTCGGAAGGATTCAATACACTCGCCAACTATCCGGCTAGTCAGATAGTTGGCGAGTAAAAAGCGCGCATGATTACACGCAACAAGTAAACAAGCTTGATCTTGTTCACTCGCAACCACCTCATTGTTGTGTTTATGTGTACAAAACCTCAACATCAAGTGGAATAGTAATAACATCAGCAAGTTTTTGGAAATTTACGAAAATTTTCCAATATTATGGAATATAAAACTAAAAAATTATCACGATACAAAATTGAGGGGCGAAAAATTAACTGAAGAATTAAAAGCTGAAGGTTTAGTTGAGGATATGACACCAAAGCAGATAAAATCAAAAATAAAAAGTATTAAAGATGCCTACCGCCAAGAATTAGCCAAAATTGAAAAGTCAAAAAAAAGTGGTAATATTATAGTAAATTGATTTGGTTTGGTAAAGCTGATTTTCTACGTCAAGTTACATCAACAAGAGAGTCAAAATCAAATTTAGTAAGTATATATTTATTCAATAAAAAAACATAATAATTAGTATTTATTACTCTTGGGTTGGTTAAATTTCAATACCAACTTTTTCCCATTGCCATGGAACAGATCCTTCTGTCATAAAATATTGGGCATAAGAACTTCGTACATTCTCCACTTCTCGTTTGTAATTATTGCTGCCCAAGTGGCTCACCGGCCGTAGTCCATTAGTATGATTTCGCCACGTTCCCGATGACACCTCAAAAGTATTTAAATCCTCACTGTCAACTGATTGTGGGGTAAGGTAAGTATTAGAAGTCATTCGTAGCCAATTATGTAAACTACAAGCAACCCAGATTACTTTATCAATAGTATCTTTTAGCGAGTAGTATTTTCTACTACTCGCCGCGCTCTGGAAAGCCTATAGTTGAAAACTTTTTCTTCATTTGATAAATTATTTTTACTATACGGCTTCATTAAATTTGCTCTTAAGGGAAATGCATCGTCACCAATAATAACTGATTTGTCAGGAAAGCCTAACAACTTATTCTGAATGGCTATGTTTAAAGTTGAGTCTCTGAATATTGCACTATCGCTTGCACGTCCATTTCCTCCTATATCTATGTACCTGAAGCTGTAAGTTGCATCCACCATGGCGAATAAAATTATGCTGTATGTGCCCTTATAATTATAAAATGATGAACCGCTGTTTGGTGGGCATTTAATTTGAACGTGTTTGCCATCAATTGCACCGCAACATCTAGGAAAATTCCAATATGCCATAAATTTTTTTTCTATTTCTTTGCATTCATCACTTGCTGAGGGCACCTGAAAATATAATAAAAAGGTTGATACTTGTTTCTTATTTCAAAGCATTATCTATTATTTTTAGGATATACAACCCACAGTGGACGAAAACAAAACGGATACAGAAGAAGGAGAATCAGATTTGAACACTGACAGGACAACATCGGGTGAACAATCCTATCCATCACAGAAAAGAGTTCTTCATGCACCGATCACGAAACCTCCTCCTGCCAAAAGAACCCAAGCCAAAGAAAAACGATCATGCGTACAGGGTGCCCTTGAAGAATTTAATGATATTGTTTCAAAAGTGAACAAACAGGATGCATTTGATGTTTTTGGACAGTATGTTGCCATAGAGCTTCGAGAATTACCTAGTAGGGAGGCAATAATACTACAACAACAAATACAGAATTTGATTACTAATACAAAACTTTCTAATCTGCCGTCTTCATCATGTATGCCATCATGTTCACCCTCTACATATGCTCAATCTGTAGTTTGCTCCATTCCACAACCATCACCCGATCCTGATAGTGTTATTACTGAAAATTATACATCTACTACAAATACCAAGAAAAGTACTGACTACGCCAATGTCCTTCCAAATACTGTTTGGAACAAAAAGAGTTCTGATGTGTTAGAGGAAGCCATGCAGAATAGTTTCCTTGATAGTACAGACAATGCAATTTATATAGAAAGTACACAAAAGAGTACGAGTATGTTCGGATGCGTCTCGTGCAGTTCGTTCTTGCTGGTATTTGTTTCGTGGTAGAAAGTCGGCGAAGTGGTGTTTGATTAGTATTGATGCACTCGCGATAAAATTTTCCCTTTTTTACCGGTTGTATATCGTTCATTAGTGGTGCCGCACTGGATTTATCTCCAATTATTTAATTTTATTATTGGTAACAATTTGCACAGATAAAAACTAGTTTTTCCGATGCCTTCAACGCAATGCGGGTGTTGCGGACAGCTGGTGGGGAGAGATAAAGCGGGAATTCACTGCGTGTCATCGGCTCTTACTACAAAAAATTGAACATGTTGGTTTACCCTACAGCATTCAACAGTGGCTTGCTTCCTACTTGGCTGATAGAACGCAGTCGGTTACAGTTAGAGGTTTTTCCTCGCAGACGGTGTATTTACGGTGTGTTTAATATTTATATTAATGACATATTTAAGTGTTTTAAACACGCTAACTGTTTAATGTATGCAGATGATCTAAAGATCTTCTGCCGCGTGTCAAATCCTAGAGATTGTTCTGCTCTTCAGCGTGATCTATACGAACTTGCTCAATATTGTTGCACAAACTTCATCACCATGAATTATAGTAAATGCTTTACAATTACTTTTACAAAAAAGCCTGGTCCCATACGCTTTGACTACATCATTGGAGGGAAGTTGTTGAACAGGGTTACTTCTATAAGAGATTTGGGCGTGACGTTTGATAGTAAGCTATTATTCAGTGAGCACGTCGATTCGGTGGTTAGCAAGGCTTTTCGTATGCTTGGTTTCGTCATGAGATCGGCTGCTGATTTTACCGACACTAATTCATTAATGACTCTCTATTATACGTATGTATTTAACATTTTGAATTATTGCACTGTTGTATGGAATCCACAATATAATATATTTGTGGAACGACTAGAGCGTGTCCAAAAGAGATTCGTTCGTTTTTTATGCTGGAAATCTCATACTACCTATGCTGACTACAACTCGGCGTGCCAATCTTTCCACTTGTTACGACTCGGCCAACGGCGACTTCCTAATGATATAATACTTTTATATAAAATAATTCATAATATTTATAAATCATCCTCGCTTACATCACTGATTAACTTCCACGTCCCGCCCAGATCGCTTCGTTTTGATTTTCTGTTCTTTACTACAACTCCGCGCACTAACTCCTATCAGCATTCGCCATTGCTGCGCTCTGCTCGCTCTGCTGACCGTCTTGCCATTAATATATTTGCGTACGATTCCTTAATCTCCTTTAAAAGAG